GAAAGAATGAGAGCCAAAAGTTGAAATGTTTACGGGAGTCATGAAGATTTTGTTTAAATACAGGAACTCACTGTAAGCCAACTTCCAGAAAAAGGCTTTAAAGGACGAAAAAAAAGATTTGCATAGCTAACCAGCAGGGGAAGGGAGTAAGAGGATGTCTCTTATTTTAATAACTTCTTTTCTTAGAAGTAAAAGGGCTTCTTTCAATTTGAAGTTGTGCCTAAATAAAGAAAATGAAACATAAATTAAATACACAAACAAAATAATGTAAGCCAAAAGAGATTTGGAAGAACAATTCAGCAAAAATCTAGTAGTAAAGCCTTTTTCAAGCTGTCTTTTAATAGGCAAAAGAGGCTAGTAAGTGGTCAAAGTAGTGAAAGTATTTAGGGCTATATCTATTCTATCAAGAACATGTCAAACGATTTGTCACCAATAAACACATTATTAGAAGAGATTTCATAAGAAACTGTAAACCATGAATGGTGAAAAATTACCATGGTCATGTAGAAAACTGTCAAGCCAGAAACCATGGTGTGTTTCCTAAAAGCATCCCAGTCAAGACAAAAAAAAAAAAAACCCACAACCCAAGAAAACTGTAAACAGCTGCTTTTCCATTCTAAATCTTTAGATTCATGGGAATATATGATTAAAAAGAGAAACCCAGAATTTTTAAAATTTCTTTGGACTACGATGAATACATGTGACAAAATGCAGATCAAAGTCTCTTGGAGAAGTTTAATCATCATGGATGAAGACATAAGGACCTCTCAGTGATAACTAGTTAAAAAATAGGAAACAAATAATGAAGTCCATTTTTACAGTGAGGGATGTTCCTTGCTAGAGACCCAAGAAAATACATAAGAGCCTGCAATATTTTACTGACAACAGTTGTGAAAGATACAGAGAGGGGAGGAGGTGACAGACGAGGCAAATACCACTGATAATGGTTAGATTACACAGCATAGGAGAAATGAAAGTTTGCTGTAGGGGCACATAGCAATTTCTCATGATACTGATAACAAAAATAATTGTTGATAAATGTAAGTTAACAGCAATGTGTGGGGGATAGTGTTGATGGCCGGGAGGGCTTCCTTTCAAGAAGGCTCAAGATTACTTGGAGTTATGATTGATAGTTCTAAAAAAAAAAAATAAAATCCTCATTTACCTTCTTAGCAGTAACTATGTTTGTTGTTTGCCATCTTGGTCACAAAATGCTATGGTGCAGCTAACAAAATGTGAAGATCACTCTTATCAGGTGTTGCAAGTGCCAATGTTGAATGACAAATTCATGCAATTAAAATGCAATTAGGCCTATTGGAAATTATGACCTTATGTAGTGGTTTGAAGTATTAATCACACAACACCCTTCTCTCCGCTCAGGAGAAGGGTTGAGAAGGAAGAACAAGAAACCTGATCAAGATAGGAGAAAACTGATTTATTAAAAGCAATGTGAGATAATACAGAATAATTAAGAATAATAAATCAAACAAACCATAGATAAAACTGGAGTAGAGAGTCAGTCTGAGTCTTTATCAGCAGGCCCTTGATGGCTGGCCTCCTGAAAATGGTAACTTCTCCCTCATCTGGGTTCAGAAAATCAGTTATGAAACTCTGATTAATGAGAAGGGAGAAGATATAATTTGAAGAGTTGAAAATTCAGCTCCGAGCCTCTGCCCTGCTTTGTGTCTGCTTTTCTTGTGTCACAACCTAAAGTATCTCAGTTTGTAGGGTGGCATCTGGTGTGACCGCTTCCTTGTGCAAGACCAGGTCCTCTAGAGCAGTGCCCTCCTTGGCTGGACTGCATGGCAGAGACATGATTTTGTCCAGATGTTTGTTTTTGGAGGGTTCTTCTTAGACTTGGGGCACTTGCCTAAATCTTTGGTTAGTATGATCCATGCTCTTTTATATCTTCTTTTTGTCTTATTACTGAATGTTTTGGGTTAGTGCTGTGTTCCTTCTATTCTTCCTTATCCCAGTACATGACCTCTGAAGTAGATGGTCCTGGGAAAAGACTATTCATGCTTTCTATCTGCTTTATTTTTGTTTAAAGCAGATTATAGCTGGCCTTGAAGGAAACTTGGTTTTGCTAATTGTTTAATTTTTAAGCATTTTTCTACCAAACTGTTTTTTTTTTTTCATTTGTTTGTTTTAAGAACATCTCTATTCCTATTTTTAAAATAACGCAATGTGTTTAGATAATATGTTGCAAATATTCAGTTCTTAGGTGATGGCATCTTTCTGCTCACTTTGTAATTTTGGTAGAATTACTTAAAAACAAAGAGAAAAATTGTTGTGAAGCACTACATCCCATTTTGAAGTCCTGTGGGAAGCTTCTGTGAATGCAATCTGGAGTCTGTGTTATTAAAATGAAAATGACTTTGTAGATCTCTTTCTTCTTTCTTTATTTTTGTTGCACCCCACTCTGTTTTTAAGGAAATTGATGCAAAGTTGCCTTCATTTCAATCCAAGAGTGGTGAAGTCTTTAACCTTCTTTTGCCCTCTTCCATTTTCTTGAAGCAGCACTCACAGTCAGCTTTTGTACTTCAAACATAAGACAAGAAGAGAAGACGTAAAGAAGATTAGCAGTGTATTGAAGCTCTCTTGCAGCAGTGGGCAGGCTGCACAGAGCTGTGCTGTTGCTGCTTGAGTGAAAATCACATTCTCAGTGTGATTTCAGCATTATAAAACCATTTGGGTAATTTACTACACATTGCATGGTCTTGATGATCCGCATTCTTTGATTTACTGTGTTTGAACTAGGGCATGCTTTTTTAGTAAAAGCAGTTAATTTTGGTTTTTAAATTGTTGCAGTAGGAAACCCACTAAGGCTGTTGTTAGCAAATTATTGATTATTTCAGGCAGTTCTTAATCTATTTGTTGTCTATGTTGCTAATTTATTTATCTTTCTAGCTAATCAGTCAGAAACACTAGGTAGCATCAGATCAAATGCCTATAAAATGCGGTGTGTAGCATGTATTGACAGTGTAAAAGCCATAGATACCTGTTGTCAGCAGTGCTGCAAAGGGAGAACATCCTTTTTTGTCCAAGGAGGCAAAACCGTGGGTGTTAAGTCTTTGATTCCAGTTGGAAAGTGATTGAGGGCAAACATTTCCAGATGTGTCCATTGCTGTCAGCCCTCGTAGGCCCTCAGGGACAAACTCTGGAACATTTTATGAACTATCACTGGAGACTTGTCTGTAAGCCTGAGTGAAGCCCACTGAAGAAATATGCTCAACCACTTCCACCTCTTACTTTTCCCCATTCTTTTTCTTTTTTTTTTCTTTCTTTTTTTTTTTTTTTCTTTAGCTTTCTTTGTGTCACTGATAATTATGGAAATGCTTGAGTGGATGCCAGGTCCTACCATGCTATTACAGTGCTGTGGTAAGGTTTACCAAGTGGGAAGTTCTTTGAACTCTTTTACTAACATCTGTTTGGATACAGAGGTACCACAAGAGGGAGAAAAATGAATGTTAAGTTAGATTTGGAGTTAAATCACTTAATGTAATCAAATTTTCTCATACATAAATACTTTTCTGATAGTCATTTCATATGGCCCTGGGAATATCTTATGGGAAAAGCATCTTTTCATGCTCTCACACACACACCATTTCTGATTCAGATGGTTTTAGCTGTGCTTTTTAGTGTGAGATAGTATGTTTATTTTTATTTTTTTCAGTAGTGAGGCAGCCTTCCAACATTATTTGGTTCAAGCTTGACTGTTAATTTTGAGATACTCTGTGTCTGATTTATTTTTGACCATTCTGTATTCTCTTATAAACCAGCAACAATTTGAGCATTCACTGGAATTTCTGGGAGGGGGAGTTAGCTAGATTGCTCCTATAGCAACAAAAACAAGAAACTACCTATGACTCTCAGTTTCAATTTACTTCCGTTGTGTCACTTTCCCAGAATTTCAGTTTATTCTGTCACCTTCTGTGTGGCATATGTATAGTACAGTCTAAAATCCAGGATGTGCATCTATGCCCTTGTGTCTGCCACCCTCCAGCTGATATTAGTGGGAAGGATCAAGAAAGATTGGCTCAAGAGGAGGTTATATATCTGAACAAGATGTAAAAATAATTTCCTTAGAAAAGTGTTGTAGGCACGACCCCAGTGCTAAAAAATATAACTACTACACATAGCACTAAAAGATTCGTCATAGAATGGCCTGGGTTGAAAAGGACAATAATGATGATCTAGTTTCAACCCCCTTGCTATATGTAGAGTCACCAACCACCAGGCCAGGCTGCCCAGAGCCACATCCAGCCTGGCCTTGAATGCCTCCAGGGATGGGGCATCCATAACCTCCTTGTGCAGCCTGTTCCAGTGCATCACCACCCTCTGTCAGAACTTCTTCCTAATATCCGACCTAAACCTCCGCTGTCTCAGTTTAAAACCATTCCCCCTTGTCTTATCATTATCCACCCTTGTAAACAGCCATTCCTCCTCCTGTTCATATGCTCCTTTCAAATATTGGAGGTCTCCCCAGAGCCTTCTCTTCTCTAAGCCAGACAATCCCAGTTCCTTCAACCTTTTCTCATCGGAGAAGTGCTCCAGACCTGTGATCATCTTAGTGGCCTTCACTGAGTGGATTCTTGTGGCATGCTTTTCTATTAATTTCACTGTAAGAACAGTTTTGCAACGAAGCAGATCACCCAGATGGGTTGGGCAGACTACATCTGTGAAGATTTTCAAGACCCAACTGGGTAATGTCCTGGGCAACCTGATCTAACCTCAGCACCAAACATGCTTGGACCAGGAAATTGGACTCAAGACTTCCTGAGTTCCAACCTGAACTGTCCCATGAATCCTAACTTCTATTGCTTATGAAAGTAGATCACTCTCGTATATATTTGTGTGCTGTTTAGCTGGTAAACATCTATCTTAGCATGACAACACAGTGTTTGTAATGGACAAAATATGATTGTTGATATGTCACTGCAGTATGCTATGCCATAGCTTTTTTTTTTTTTTCTTTCATCTGTCTTCTCTTTATTTAGGTGGAAAATGTGCGATTACTTGATCGCTTATCTTCAAGAAAAGCTGCAGTGGGAACCCTGTACTTAACAGCTACTCACGTCATATTTGTGGAAAATGGTTCTGAAACTCGTAAAGAAACCTGGGTATGATTTTTATTTTTTTGGTTAGCTGTAAGTGCTTGGCAATTTACTGATGGTAACTTGAAAATAACTTGCCAAGTAGATTAAATGCTGTAGATGAGTTTATACAGATGCTTCTATTACTGGATAGTATCTGAAAGGCTTAATAAAAACCTTTGCAGCTTGATGATTTTAAAAAAAAAATTCTGTGGGTTTTGGATATTGTAACACAGGGTACTGGTACCACAAAGGTATTTACTGTATGAATACTGGCTGTGATTCTTCAAGGAACCACTGCTGTCAAGTTCAGCTGTTTAGAGAGTGAATTACTGCTTGGGCTTAGTCAGCTTGTCTCCCTCCTTGTGCTTCCATTCTGTCAGTTAGCTGGACCAACTCTTTAGCCAAGAGACTTTAGTTATTTTTTTTATAACTGATGCTGGTTCATCTTTTCACTGTACAGATAGACAAAAGAGCTCTTTTTTCTGATGACTGTTAGCATACATTAAAAAAAAAAAAAAATCAAACAGAAGGCTTTGGACAGCATGAGTAGGCTAATGTCTGAGCAGCTGAAACATTCCAGAGGTGCTTCGTTGTCTGTAGGTCATGTATCTGGCATTTCTGGAGCCTGATGCTGGAGATAGGAACAAAACTGCAAGAAGACGTGTGTGAGGATTTTCTGAAACAGCAGTGGAAGCTCCTGTGTCCTGGCAGATCTTTACAAGCAACTGTTTTTCTTCCTGCAGACTTGAATCACGTAACATAACCATTTTCAATTCCATTCCAGGTTCTCCACAGCCAAATTTCCTCTATTGAGAAGCAGGCCACAACTGCCACAGGTTGCCCATTGCTGATCCGCTGCAAGAACTTCCAGGTTATCCAGCTGGTCATCCCTCAGGAGCGAGACTGCCACGATGTCTATATCTCTCTAATACGTCTGGCACGGCCAGGTATGGGAAAGAAACATGACACAAAAGTGAATCCTCCTCTTGAAGGATATTGTAATGGGTGAAGTGTAGCTGTGCATCTTTCTTCTTTTCGGTTTAAGAGAGAAGACTTCATTACGGATGCATTACGATGAAGGAGAGGTCTCTGAGCACAGAGCACTCTGGAGCAGTGGAGAATGCATGCTCTAATAAATGGTTTATTCCATAATGTTTGACACAAACTTTTATTTAAAGTGATAGTCTAGGGGATCACTGACTGTAAAATATATCATAATGCTATTTTATTAGTAACTGCTGCCTTGTGTAAGTGTGAATTTAGGAAAATACTAACAAGTCTCTAAATCTAGTGAAATTTCATATTCCTTCTGTGAAGTTTTATGATATCTTTAGTGGCCACATGAAGATCTGAATTCTCCCTTCTGTGCTGTGCATAAACTTGTTAAAAATCAATGAAATGTATTGCAGCAAGTACTTGATCTAGTCCACTGGACTGCCTGTATTTTAGCCTACTGTTATCTAGATTTAGAATGTGTTCTGCTTGAATTTCTTAAATTTGATCAGGGTCCCTTTGAAACCTTTCCTCTTTTCAGTGAAATCCAATATTTGATCCTCTGTGACATAGTTGCTCTTCTAGGAACCAACAGCCTTACCTGTTTTAAGTGATAGCTAAAGAAATATTTGCCACAGTCTGTATGAAACTGAAATAACTGGCTTTAATTTTTTATCTTGCTGGGAGAACACCAGTTTTATCTACTGTGCAGAGTGGGAAAAATAGCAGGCAGCCAGCACTGCAACTGAACTTATACAGGGATATCTGTAATTAGAGTAGTAGTAGTAATATGCAACTGCAGCTGATGTGACTTATTATGCTATGCAGGATTAAATAATCAGAGAAACTCAGAAACAACAAGGTAAATTATCCTAGTTTTGAGGAAGCTTAAAGCAACAGAGTAAAGCATACCCTTGTCACAGTGTCTTCAGCAGCAGTAAGAACTTTGCTGACAGGTGGCATTTAGTGGCAATGGTGTCTGGCTGCCATTTGCCACCATAATTAAATCACTCATTAGTATAAATACAGGTATCCTGAAAATGAAAAGTTAAGAACTCCAGTACTAGCAAATTTTACCATATAGTTCTGGACTGAAGGTGACAAGTGGCATAGCTACTGAAGTGGTTTTATGGTTGTGATGAAATGATTGATTTAACACATGCTATTTTTATGCTTATTACAACAGCTGTATCTCAAATGCCTTTGCTAATAAAGGAAGAACAGAGTTTTGCAGTCCATAGAATAAAAATTTCATTGAACCTGTTGGAAAATTCTATTTCAGCACAAAGACTTTTGAGCTTCTTAATTTTGGAAGATTGTGGTGCATAAGTAGATAAGATGTCCAGTAAAACAGACTACTTTGAATATTAATACAGCACATATTTATTCAAACAACAACAACAAAAAAGAAGCACAGTACTTTCAAAGTATGTTTGACAATAGCTTCAAGACAGAATGTGAGATTTCAAGAAGCAATTCATGTTACTTTTAAGGGAAACCACATTAGAGGCAGTGTCAGATTTTGTTTTTGGATGTGTCTTCTTGATCAGAAATCTGAGATACCTTATTGTTTTGCTGTTTGTTTTTTTGTTTGTTTCAGTGAAATATGAAGAGTTGTATTGCTTCTCATTCAATCCAAAATTAGATAAAGAAGAACGAGAGAAAGGCTGGAAGCTTGTGGACCTCAATGAAGAATATAACCGGATGGGCATTCCAAACAGCTACTGGCAGATTAGTGATGTAAACAGAGACTATGGAGTGAGTTACTTTTTTAATGTCATGGGACCCTTAGAGTGGATCAGCAGTCTGGCTGTGAGTTCCTTAGTGCTCAGATGCAAAACTCTTGTGTACTCAGTGCTGTACACATGTGTAGTATGGTACAGCTCTTCCCCATTTTCCACATTAAAATGCATACAAATAGCAGGAAAAAGGATGCATCTTCATTTAATGTATGTGTAACTTGTCCACAGTAAGTTTTAAATGTTAGTATTTGGCTATTAGTAATATTGTTAGCATTTCATACCTAAGCGTCTAAGTGAGCTTTTTTTCTGATACATAGGGTTAAGTAAGATTACTGCACAGACATTAACAAAAAAAAAAAAACAAACCCCAGCACCTTGGAATAGTGAATTTAACCATGCTTTTTTGTCAGTGGCTACCCTCACAATCCTTTGAAGCCTCTATGTTTAACTGTTAAGTGTTTTCCATAGTCACCTGACAGGCTTTATCTCTCCCCAGTTCAGTCTGTCCTGCCTAATTCAGTACTGTACAATTGAAGTTCACAGAATGTTAATTGTGAGAAATAATAACCAAAATATGTTTTGAAAGAAGTTGGCCCATACACTCAATTTACTCTATTGCTTTTAGTGTCTTTATATTAAGCGAGGCCTGTGAAGCTCTCAAGAAGGTTGAGTGCACTGTGAGGATTTTTTTTTTTTTTAATATAAGCAGAAAAAAAAAAATATATTTAACCTCTCCCATGATAAAGTGTAGGAGAAGTGACATCACAAATAGAAACCAATTCACCACAGCAGCATCTTTAAACATAAGCCTCTCCTTTTGCATCTCCTGCCAGTCCCTGCTTAAATCTGATCATTGGGATCCTGGCAGAAGGGAGGAATTGGCTGGGCTGCTTACCTTTTGTAGAAATGGATTCATTTTCTCAAAACCTTTTTTTTTTTTTTTTTTTTTTTTTAATGTTTCATACTCCATATTCACTGCAAATTTTGGCTCTGTAGTCCTCTCTCATGTTTGAGAACTTCACCCCTTTCCTTTCTCATATCCAAGTTCTGCTCTGGAGAAAGCAACAGTTGTAAATACAACCATGCTGTACATACTAAAGATTCTTTCTGATCTGAATGTATATTCTCAGTAAGACATGAATTAGTACCTGGAAATACAGCCCTTCAACCTTTCTGCTTCAATTTTGCTGTTTGCAAAGTATAATCAACACTTTCCAACTTTAAAAGACTGTTTTGAGAAATGCAGGCGTACAGAGGTTAGGCTTGGTAAGAATATTGTGATAGAAAAATAATCAAAATAAATGGAAATGCTTACCAGTATCATAGGCTTACAGTAAACTCCAGAAGGAGATCCTTCCTCCATGGAAGTCATTAAGTGCAGTCAGCACTTAAATGGGATCTAGGAGAGGTGGAACCAGGCTCCACCCCTTCTGGTAGCACAAGTGAATTGCCTTCACCTGTGCTCCTGTGGCTGACTCATTGCTTGCTCAGGTGGTCAATCAGTTCCTGTACAGCAGGTGATATGTACAGTTGTTGTGCAATGAAATATTATCTGAGATTAAAATTTCTATTTTTTTTTTCAGTAGAGTAGAGCTGGCTAACATTAGTTGTATTTAGTAGACTAAGTAACTGGAGTTTCCTTTCACAGGTCTGTGACTCGTATCCTACAGAAGTGTATGTACCAAAGTCTGCAACTGCACACATCATAGTGGGGAGCTCTAAATTTCGGAGCCGAAGGCGTTTTCCAGCTCTTTCCTACTACTGCAAGGATAATAATGTAAGTGTGAGTTTGTAGTTTCCAATGTGCAAAGTTTAACCTGGCTTTTGTAATTTTTCTAATAAGCTTCTGTGAGAAGTCAGTGTTTGCTTTAAAAAAAAAAATTTAGAAGGTGGTTTGGGTAGTCTTTTCTTTATGGTGATGCCTGTCCTAAGTTTAAGCTTCAGAAGGGTAGGATGAAACGTATTTTTGACTCCTGCTGACAATTTCAGCAGAGTTCTTCTTTAGCAAAGATCTAAGAATTTGATTACAAAATAGGAGGATATGAAGATTTAAATAATTAATACAGTCTACACATAAATAGTATATTGCCTTTTATATTTAATTAAGAACAAAATTTTCAAAATTAATCACTTTGCATAATCACCTAAGTCCAAATACAGATACACAGCATTCAAAACTTGGACGTTTCCAGATATTAGTGAAAGAAGTCTAAGGGATCAACTAGGTTCTGGCATATAGTGGTCCAGCTTGGGTGAGTTCTACAGTTTCAGCCTAGATGGTTTCTTCATTTGTGGCTGAGTTCAGGTTAAGGTTAGGATTCATATTCAGGCCACTAGGGTCTGAAATATTGTATTCATTCCTTGATCTTAAAAGGTAAGGAATGTTGGAGTACCTCCATGTGAGTTTGGATGTTGGCATAAGTTTCCAGGTAATAGAAGAATGGGCAAGAGTAGAGTAAGTTTTGTGATGGTAGACATTGAATAACTCCAGTAACAGCAGGTTGGGAAGCGGAATGGGTGCCGCTCATTCCGTCTTGCATATCTGGAAAGGTCACATAACATTTTGGTTATTCACAGATTCAAATGATGTTGTGACACCACTCTGTGTCTCACAGGATCTTTGTGGTTATGCTGAGATCAAAGTCTGAAAGTATCTTTTTAGCCAGGGCAGTTGAAAGCAACCTGATCTTTTGCCGTACTCTTAAATACACCCTAAGAAATTTTTTAGATGTATGTGCTCTTCATAAACAATTGGCTTGGGTTAAGTTCTTCATGGAGATCATTTGTAATGATTTCTGAGATATCTAATGGATCATTAGGCCAATTTATCTTCGTGGTTCTGCACTATTGGCAGTGCAGCTGTTTCATGAGCTTGGGCTATATGTGAGTTTAACCTGACAGACAAGCTATTCTCTCCTTCTGGTGCCAGCACATATCTTAGTTTGTTGAGCACAGGCAGTGCTGTAACGTAATGAGCTCTAGCCCCAAGTTTCCTGAACCTTAACCTTAGTCTGCAACTCTAATTTTAGTCTTAATCTTAAGGTGTGTATCTACCTCAAGTATGATACCTCATGACTGAGAGAAAAATGTTGTGAAAAATGTTGAGAGGTTGTGAATAGCCATATGTACAAATTTCATCATTCAAAGAAGGTGTTAGCATGTATTAAATCACTGGGATATGCACTGATCAGCAGTAGATAACTAATAATTTGATGGCAGAATCTATTACTGACATCTAAGCAAGCTCCCACAGTTTCATATATTAAAGATCCCATTTACTAAGTACTGATAGTTAAAAGCTTGGCTGAAAGTGAGCATGTTCCTTCTCACAGTAATAAATAATCTGTTGGGCAGCCTGCAAGGGTTATGACCTTCAGCATGCAGATTCTCTTCGTACTCATGTTCAGTGCATAGAAAGTGCCTACATCAGCCCTGTGCCCATATGGCTCCGGCTGCTCACAGACTAGCAGAAACTGGGAAATATGATCTCCTTACTCCAAGTTCAGTTCCTTCTTTCCTGGTTTCATCTGGAGGCCTGATTCTGATGTGTCTGGGGAGAATCTCTCTTGACTTTTTCAATAGCACTGATTAATAAATTTGCTCCAACACTCAGGCTGCCTGACTCACTTCCTGTGCAGTGAAGTCTTTCTCCAGAGGCAGTGCTAAAAATACAGTACATCAGTGATCTGGCTGCACAGTATGTACACATTTTTGTTTCCTGGACTTGTACCTCAAAGTGCTCAGTAAAGAGTGTATTGGTGTAAGCTGGATGTAATTAGTATCATAACTGAAGTGTGAGTGACAGTGCAGAAGGATCCATTTCTTAAGTTGTTATGTCAGTGTTCTTGTGATTGCACTGCTATACTCGTTATTCTCTACAGATTGTCTTTAGGAGATAATCCACATGAGGGAAATAATATATTTGAAATAGCTCTAAAACTTTGATTCAAGACCTAGGCAGTGGGGCTTTATTGCCTTAATATTTTCTTGACTTTCTAAAAAGAATGTAATTCTTTTTACCATTCCCACATAACTATAATTCTATGGTAAACATCTAATGAGCTTCTTCAGTAAATGTTTTGGGTTGCTAATTGTTTTCTGCTTAATAAGTTTACTGACTTCTTGTTTGTTTTTCTGCAGGCCTCGATATGTAGGAGCAGCCAGCCTTTATCTGGCTTTAGTGCAAGATGCCTTGAAGATGAACAGATGCTTCAGGCCATCAGAAAAGCAAACCCAGGAAGTGATTTTATATATGTTGTTGACACTCGGCCTAAAGTAAGTGTACTACCTTTCTTGCCTATAGCAAGACTGAATTTGAGCTGGATGTGCTTGAGAAGATTCATAGCACAAACGGCTGGCACAGTTGCACCTGTGTAACTCCACATGTTAAATCAGGATTTATCAGGCATATTTAACTAGAAATCTTGCTTCTGTTTTTCTCTCAAGAGTTCTATTGTTTATGGTGTGTCTTTCTCTTTTTTTAGTTCTTATCAAAATGTTAAGATACAGAAAAAGAAATAATAACTTGGAGCAGTAACTGTTAGATTATTTGATAAAAGGCTATTTTCACACACACAAGAGTTAACAGTGTTAATAATGAGGCTAGTGAAATATAATTCCTGTTAGAATATTGTGTTTATAATAACAGTTTTGTATTTTAGGAAGATAATCTGAAATATGTTATTGAGTTATCTCAGTCTGTAATTGACTAAAATATTTGGCTAAGACTAAAACTTTGGAGGAATTATGCTATGCAGAAACATGGAAACACAATAATGATCAAGAAGAGTTTGGAAGGTAATACAGCTTGTACACAACTTTGGCAAACAGCTCAGGGTGATGAGGACCAGGAAAGATTCGGTGGCTGGAGGTGGGAGCAGGAGTACACGCTCTTCCCTGCTGAACCTAACAAAGCGTGTGAAGGAGGACGTCTCTATCCAATCCCTAGTAGATGCGAGATGAGCTATAGATGGGGGAAGGAAACAAAGTCAGGGGTATCTCATTTCACTTTGTAATTTGGAAGACAGTTTGACCTGCAGATACTACTTTTTTTTTTTTTTTTTAATTGGGAAGGTGAGAGCGATACCTTCTTACTGGTAGTTCTGCAGAAATTGCAGTTGTTGTGAGCACTAGAGAAGGATTAGTACCACTGTGTTCAGAGCAGGTTTGGATAGGAAATGCAGGCCTGGATGCCTAAATAATGCATGCTTAACAGTTGTAACCATTATCGCACATAGAACAACATAATATTGATTCCAGGGCAAAATCCCAGGCATACATACAGACTGGCAGGAGAAATCCTGAGAGTAGTCCTGCACAGAAGGATCTGGGGGTCCTCATGGATGAAAAACTTAACATGAGCCAGGAGTGTGCTCTTGCAACTTGGGAAGCAAGTGGTAACCTGGGCTCCATCAGAAGAGGGATGGCCAGCAGGGACAGGGAGGTGATTGTCCCTCTCTTCTCTGCCCTCGTGAGGCCCCATCTGGAATATCACGTCCAGGTCTGGGACCCCCAATACAAGAAAGACCAGGGAGCTGTTGGAAAGAGTTCAGAGGAGGGCCACAAAGATTATCAAAGGGCTGGTGCACTCCCCTGAGAAGACAGGCTGAGGGAGCTGGGCTTGTTCAACCTGGAGAAGAGAAGGCTGTGGGGTGACCTCATTGCAGCCTTTCAGTACCTAAAGGAGGGAGCCTACAAACAGAAGGAGAGTCAACTTTTTACAAGGTTAGATAATGGCAGGACAAGGGGAAATGGTTTTAAGTTGAGGGAGGGGAGATTTAGGTTGGATATTGTGGGGAAGTTTTTTACACAGAGAGTGCTATGGTGCTGGAACAGGCTGCCTGGACAGGTGGTGGATGCCCCATCCCTGGAGGTGTTCAAGGCCAGGTTGGATGGGGCCCTGAGCAGCCTGGTCTAGTATTAAATGGAGAGATTGGTGGCCCTGCCTGTGGAAGGGGGTTGGAGCCTGATGATCCTTGAGGTCCCTTCTAACCCAAGACATTCTCTGATTCTCCGGCTTTGGTACTCCTCTCTCATTAAGTAGGTCACTCATTGATGGGATTTATTAAGAAATACTTTGTGACTTGGCTATTAATGATATTCATTTAACTAGACCAAGATGACTAGCACAGAGATTTTACTTTGGATACCATCTTCATTTTCTTCTTCCGTGTGTTTACAGAAGAAGTTAATTTAAACTTACAAGTGAAACAAATTAGTTCTATTAATCTTCTTAGAATTTTATTACCCTCCACGCTAAAGAAGATGCCAGGAAATCTGACAAGTGAATTCTGTTCCCTTTAGAGGTTATATTTTCATATTCTGAGAAATTAAGCAGGGACAGGCACAACTTAGAGAATAACAACTGCTTTACAAGCAACAGATGGAATTTGGATAGGTGATGGAGAAAAATTGTTAGTAAATATTGTAGCAGCTGCAAAGTTTGGCAACTGACAATATTTAAAATGAGTACCTGAAAGCCTTGCAAATTTGACCTTATATTTATTTACTTTTAAAAAGTCTATTTCAGATTTCTTCTAATGAACGATTTGTGTGATACAATTGCTCTGCTAGAGGAGAGACAGTTTATAGCATGTGCACTGCTAAGGATTAGGCCAGTTAAGCACTAGGCGTGTTTCAGTTAGAGCTTCTGGATTTCATGGTGTCTTATTCATGCTTACAGATCTTTCCTCCTGAAGCTATATGCTTTTATCAGGAGAGAGATTTCATGCTGCTTATATTAGAGCACTGGTGGCTGCTTCAAAACAGAAAGACTGGGAGTCAACAGATAACTGTAATCTTTCTAGCAAGTCACACTGAGGATTCTCTCCTTAAATGGCTGTTCACAAGCAGTATTTATTTGTGGTTTTTTTTTTTTTTAATTGTTAGTTGACAGTCAAAAAGATCGGCAAACAAGCAGCTGGTGGACTAGAATTTTATGGTTATTTTTTTCCTTCTATTTTTCCTTTATTGGAAGCTACAAGCTAAAAGAAATTTTACACAAGAGTTAAGTAAATGGAAGATGCTGTTTTTTTTTTTTTTTTTTTTTTTTTTTTAACTAGTTTTGTTGGTGCCTTTCAGTATGGATTTGCAATGTTCACTAAATTTTAAATTAGATATTTTTTTGAACAGAATTTTTTACTCGTGCTTAGAGACTTGATGGCCTTGTAAAGCTGACAATTTCGTTACGCCTGGTACCTTGACATTTATTGTGAAGTTCAGAGGCTCTACATCATTTATTAAAAATCCAGCTTCCATTTCAATTTTTTTTTTTTGTTTTGTTTGTTTTTCTGAAGCATAAGCAAAGTATTTGATAGTGCTGCATTGCAGATGAAGATATTTGTGGTGATTTTGTCTTTTGCGGTGTTCTCAACTGGAGGCAAGACACTGTAATCTTGGGAAAACTTGTCTCTCTAAATTAAACTTGTCTTTCTAAATTAATTTAGGCTTCAGAAAAGGAACCTGTATCAACTTTTGGGTGATCTGGTCTGTTCTGGGAAACACCACTGCGTATGCCATGGAACTGTAGCATGACAGATTAGACACTGCCACCTTCTGGATATATTCTGCTAGTAAACTTAATGCTGACCTCAAATCAAAATAGCCTTTTAAAAACAAATTAAAAACTGTACACTCTTGCAGAAGAGCCTTTTGTAAGCTGTGGGTTTTTTGTTTTTTCTTCTTGTGTTTGAGTTAGCACTCAATGTGTTTGAAATAGAGATCAGAGTCTTAGTGACCCAGCATACTGCAATATACTGTAAACAGATTCCCAGTGCCAGAGTACTTGTGTTGACACTGTGATAAATGCTTCCTATTTACACCTGACTTAAATAACTGATTTATTGCAGTAGGCCATGAGCTTTCTTTTAAAAAGAATATTTTCTATACTTGTTTTCATCCAGTTTCTCTAATTTTTTTCAGCTCAATGCAATGGCAAACCGAGCAGCAGGGAAGGGATATGAAAATGAAGACAACTACTCCAACATCAAGTTTCAATTCATAGGCATTGAGAACATCCATGTCATGAGAAATAGCCTGCAGAAAATGCTTGAAGGTATAACTGTTCTTTATTGAATCCCAAGAAAAAGATTAGACACAAACTAGAACTTCTCTGAAATCAGTAATAAAAGAAAACTTTATCTGCTAGCTCATGGACGTCTGGTATCATTACATTTAGGAGAATTTTCCTAATTGCAAGAACTCCTTATTTCATGAGTAGAATCTAGATAAAACTTACATTAATGACAAGTGTAATTTGACTTTAATACCTTTCTGCTACTTCTTCTTCCTTCGTAGTTTACAGTTTGATGGTACAATGAAAAAATTGCTTATATCTGGCTACAACGGTGGTGGAAAACATAAAAGACTTTTAAAAAGTCTTTAACAAAGACTTAAAAAAAAACAACCTCAAAGCATAATGACTTTTTTTTTTTTTTCCTTTGGTCTTTTTACTTTCAATTTTAACAGAGATTTATTCATTTTTTGTATAGAGCATGTCATATTAGGGCTATTTATGAAATAGTCAATATGTATAACCATTCTGCACCTTCATAATCCCACGGAAATTAATAATAATGTCTTTATAAATAACTAGTGTATAAAGCAGCACATCTGTATTGCCATTTATTATTTGAATTACATTGCTGCTAAGAGGACTTTTTGGAGAAGGATAGGGATAAACAAGCCATCCTTGACCCACAGTTAATTTGTTGATTTTTAACAGGCAAATAATGATCACTCCAGCCCACGTAGTGTCAGTATTTACTTCATGTATATCATCAACAGAAGGTTTCTGAATGTTCAGCTCCTCAGCCAGCATGATCTAGCTATCCTTGGCCCAGTGCTCTACCTATACCCCTTTATTGTTATTATTGCTACCCCTTTATTCTTTATTACTGTATCCCATCATCCATGTGCAATGAATTCTAAATCTAAGAAGGCCGTAGGGAGAGATGTGTTGTGTTTCCACATAAGAGCAATTTTTGAAAACCAGAAGCAAAGGATGATGCATGTGAACAGTCTCTTGTTGCTCCTCATTTCCTGTAGAGATGGGCCATCCCAAGAGGAATTCCCCACTCCCCAGAGAAGTGCTGATGTGATTACTGCTTTTTGACAGATATAGTGTCTCTGCCAAGTTCTACCCTCGCATGGGAATAACAAAGAAGGCAGGCACAGGAATTTACTTTGTCCTGTCCTCTTTGATCACAAATGTTTCTAAGTCAGTCTGAGTGGACTTCTGTGGTCCCTGTTCAGTAACTATGCTGTTCAGATGAAGGAGAAAGGTTTTTGGAACATTGCTCTGTGGATTACAGATGTGAGTGTACCCAGAGCTACAGAAGATTTTAGGTTAAGATGTGTTTAATACATCATGATGTATTCTTGCTTAGTTACTTGAAGTGTAAGGTCTCAGAATGGAAAATAGAAGGTTTTTTAGCAAACTGCAAAGCCTTGTTTGGCTAGAACAGAGGTCGGCTGAACAAACGCATCCCTTTGTTTGCTCAGCTTGAGACCAGCAAGGTTGAAGCAGTAAACAACTGGCCTGGCTGCATGTGATAGAGCTGTGTATTATTTTAGACCAGAAGTTCATGAGCTGGGTTCCTGGCCCACACTTAGAGGTAACAACATAATTCCCAATAAATGAAATGAAACAGTGTTGCTTGGGGCAGAACTTCCTAGCATCTGCTGCAAACATCTTTGTTTTGTTTTGTTTTCTATTGGATTTGTATTTGTTGTGCTGAAGTCTCATATTTAGAGATCCGACTATAAGATCAGAAATTAAAGAAGTGAATACTGCAAGACTTCAGGCTTTTGCTGAATCTTATGATTCAGCAGTTCAGTGCATAAGTAGGGCTTCTCTCATGTAAGGCATCAGACAGTTTTTCTCTTTTTTTTTCATTTGTGATTTTAACTTTAATTCTAACAAACTTATCTCTATTAACTTTAACATAACTTTGTTCCTATATGTTAATCTTAGCAAAAATTTTTAATGAATTAAAATATAAATTATTAAATGTAATATTAAATTGGTTGGATAATGAATCTTTTTTTAGAACATACAAAAAAGTTAGGATTTCGCTTTAATATGGAAGAGAAATCTTTTTCAAGCTGCTGAAATTTCCCTCCAGAAGGCAATTGTTTTACTGTTGTCTCTTCTGCCTCATACTGCTTTGTATAATATAATATTTTATTCTTTAAATAGAGGTGTACATGATGGCACCTGCATTAGTTTTGATCCTGTGCACAACTTCCAGGGCATAATTCTTAGTATTAGAAGGAAATACGGTACAAGAACTTCTCACTGGAAAGACTGAAGTGCTGACTGTTGACTGGTATTTGTGATGACCTCTATCCACAGGGTCTTGATTTTCCTATGCCCAGCCAATGCTGTTTCCCATGGCATGGGTGCAAGAGGTCTTATTTCTCCCAGGTTCTGCTATCAAGTGGGTTTGCTTGGTTGTTCTGATTGAAAAAGGGTTCCAAGTCTTCTTTTTTTTCTTTTTTTTTTTGTTTTTTTTTGTTTTTTCATGCCGGTACCTTTCTTTTTTTCCCTATTGGGATGAAAATTCCATTTTTTCCCTTAGGAATTCATATCTGGACTCAGTATTAAGGTCCAGATCAGTCGCCAAAATCATGTGAAATATATGGTGTGTGCCTTTAGTTTAGGACAGTCTGAACTTTGCTCAGTGAAGTGGTAGGTAAATATTGATTCCAATTTGGCAGTGGGAATGAGCAAAGCACTATTTAGCTTTACCTTGGACTTTTGTAAACAGAGACAGCAGCTTCAGTCAAAATTGAGCTACTAATAGGTCATGCTTCCATCTGCACAGAAGCATTAATCATGAGAAAAGCTGTTTGCTCTCAGTGTTGCTATGTATGCATTTTTATAAATACCTTTCAAAAATGACTTTTAAAATCACCATCTGGAAGAGACCCTGTGTACAAGGATTGCAAGATTTCACATGGACACATTAGGCTATTTTGTGTCTGAATTAAAATGAGTGAGGGCAGTCGGATACACTCAGATGTGATATAAACTCTGAACTTGTCCTATAAAATGAAATTTTGGTCACATTGAAAGGAATAGAATTTTTGCCACAGATGAAAGTTAACTGAGCGTTTTAAAAGATGTTTGGAGGTCTAGTAAGACACCATTAATTCACAGGTAATACACTGACTCGGTTTAAAAAAGGCATTGTTTCACTGTATTCCTTAAAGGTTTCATCAGTTAATGTCTTTTACTTTGTGACAGTATAACTGTACATGGATCAAAATAAATGTGTAATATATATATGTGGTTAATTTAATATCTCATTCCTAAGAACAGATCACACCAAGTATTGCTGGGTGTTTGTTGCTGGAATCAAATATCTGTCGGAGATTTGGGTGGCCTTTTTTATTTCTTGTGAAATAAGAAATAAGTAGCAAACTCTGTAATATTAAAAAATATGCAAATGAATATTGTTGGATAGATATTTAATGTTGTAAAAGCCGAGAGAGATTTATTTTCTTCAAACATGGTGCAGAGCTAGAAAAGTTTTCAGTAAAATGTTTTCCTTGTCGAGTTATGACTTTTCCTCGCCTTTAGGTGGTGTTTCCTGGCTGCATGTCAAATTTTAATAAGGTTTCATTGAGAGACAAGGAGCCATTGAGTGAACTGCTTTACCTGTAGCACCACTGTAGGTGGTGATGCCAAAGGCTGAATTTAGTGGCGCTGTTCTTAGAGCATTTTCTTAATTCAACTTCACCTGCAAATGTGGATGGGATAGGAGACTGGGGCATGATTCAGTGGTTGTCTGCCTGTCCAATGGCAGGAATGTGCGTATTATCTGATTCTATGCCCCCAGTATTAAGTAGAAGTCCCTTTCTTTAAAGAGTTTGAGAACTACACTCACAATACAACTTGGAAAACATGTGCTGCTCAGAAGGATGTATTTGGTAAACTGACTGCAATAGGCTTCCCAACAACAATTTTTAAATTGAAGTGTATGTACGTGGGGAAATTGTAGACAGCCCTCTTTCTCAAATGTATGAGAAAGTAATGGAATCATAGAATCTCAAGGTTGGAAACGACCTGCAAGATCATCTTGTCCAGCCGTCCTCCCTTTAACATTGCTACCAGGAGCCTCTAAACCAGATTTCGTAGCTGTATAGTAATAATAGTAAATACTTTACTTCTACTTTAATAGTAAAGTTTTGAAAGCATAAGGGACTATGTTGACTGTGCTTTTAAGATGAAGTTTATTTTACAGTTTGTGAAATGAAATCGCCTTCAATGAGTGACTTCCTGTGGGGCCTTGAAAATTCTGGCTGGCTGAAGCATATCAAAGCCATTATGGATGCTGGCATCTTTATTGCAAAGGTAAAGTGTGAACACGAAAACAGAACTTGGGCTGACCAGATGTAGAAAGTGAGGACCAAATTCTTTGTCTGTGGGTAACTTCTGTTGTCTTCAGTGAAGTTGTACCTGAAACTAATATTTCCTGTGATGCTTCACATATAAGGAGAAACAATCTTTAGGTGCTGTTACACGGACACTTTGATAATGGGGTAAAAACAAGTTTGTGTTACTTTGCACTGGACATCTCAAATCTACTGCAGCCTCTACTATCCTGTATCTTATTATTGCCATAATGTCCTTATTCAAGACAGACAGGGAACTACTGGAGAGTCTAGCAGAAGACCACAGAGATGAACAGGGGCCTGGGGCATCTCCTTTGTGAGGAAAGGCTGAGAGACCTGGGACTTTTCCTGTTGGAGAAGAGGAGATTAAATGGAGATCTTATCAACGCTTATAAATATCTAATGAATGGGCATCAAGTGGATGGAGCCAGGCAACAGGACAAGGGGCAGTGGCATAAAATGGAGCACAGGGAGTTCCATCTGAATATGAAAAAAAATCTTTACTTCATGAGTGACAGCGACCTGGAAGAAGTTCCCAGAGAAGTTGTGGAATCTCCTTCTATGGAGATGCTCAAAACCCACCTGGAAATTTTCTTGTTCAACCTACTGTAGGGAACTTGGTTTAGCAGGGAGCTGGTCTAGATGATCTCCAGAGGTCCCTTCCAGACACAGTGACAACCACTGCTAAAATCACAGTTACTTTCACTATTCCTCTTGCCTTCTCCACTGCTTCCTTGTTGAAGGTTTCTTCTCTATGACTACTTCTTCACATTAAATTTGTCTTAAAGGAATATTAACATTATCCTAACATTAACATGTAAATTCACTTCCTAACCCAGTACCTGTCAATTACAACGGACAAACTCTCTAGTGACTTCTACTCTTAAATGCTTGATAACTGCTTCAGAGAAAAAGTGCTTTAGTAAGAAATTATTTCTTCTAATCCTCAAGTAATACAGATATTTGTCATCTACTGAAAGTAATTTTGATTTTATTATTTCCATCCTTGAGCAGCATCTTTTACTGGTTCTGTTCTTATTTTTTAAGAACATAAATAAGAACTGAACAGTTCTTTTTAGTGAAGGCCATTTTATTTACAAGACCTTCCATTTAGGAATATATGGACAAACTTAATGGATCTCTCACCTCAGCATCTGCTCATTTCTCTTGCCTTGCTTCTTCCTGTTCAGCAGTTGTAATTTTTTACCTGAACACCAGCTGCAGGATAAACACACATTTTTTCTCCCAGCGCTACTAGCTTACAGACATCAAGTCATTTAATTAGCTTTTGCCAGCTTATTCCTCAGCATTAATGTATGCCAGTGACTCAGCATTAATGTATGAAAAAATGCATTCTTTCTCCATATGGTTGCTACTCTTATGCTTCCTTGGGCATGCATTTTGACTTATTCTTATTTGCACAGTTCCCTGTTCTCAGTTTTTGGTCTTCTGCCCACATGGGTTCTATTTTAGTAGAACATACTTGTCTCTTTAGATAAACATAGATAATTTATTATTACTCTTTGTTCCCTTTTAAGCCCACATTTAATCTAAAAGTTTGTTTTCCTAAGCAGTGTCTTTCCTAAACTATTTTATTTCTCTGCTTTCTAAGTATAGTTCTCCTTAAAAATGACAAATACCAAACTCCTTAGAATTTAAAATAACTCTCAACTTCCAAAAATAATGCAGCACGAGACTCTGGAGAATTTAGTATAATCCTTTCTTTATGTGTTTCTCCTGGATTATGTATAAAATAGTTTTCTCTCTCCAGAGTTTTACTTTAAAGTGATTGTTACAATCTTGTTTATTAGATGTGAATGTTCAGCACTGCTACAGGCTTTGCCCCAAACCATGACAAGCATGTGTTTAATGCAGTATGGTGTGGTAATATCCACGGTAACATCTGGCATCAGAGGCTGACATTGCCATTATTGACATATTCATCAAGGAGAGAAATTAGGTATCACGTGGAAATATGGCTGTTCTGCAGCTGCTGTGAGTGAAAGCATTAGCAGTAGCTGAATTAGCTTTAAGTAACTGTCCACTCTGAGCAACTGATGTATTTTAATCGTCCTGTGATCTGTGTGGTCAGATTATTCATGTACACAGCTGGCCTTCTGCACTGAGAACTGGTGAAGCCATCATCGAGATGGCTGTGCTGGTATATTTTTGAAAATGTGCCTATTCTCATCTGAAATACAGGGAAAAGTTCCTATCACGTGTTATAAATGAGATTTTTATAATCTTCTCCTCGAAGTTCCCAGATCCAATATTTAGATCTCATTTGCATTCACAGAACTGTGAGCTGGTACTGCGATCCAGATCTTCTCCATCCTGGGTACGGTCAAAGGGTTATTTCTTCCTCTTCTTTTTACATAGCCTAAAGGCATATTTAGTTATTCATGCAGGTAAAACAACTTCACTATAAGTACTGAAAGTAACCCATAGCCAGAATAGACAACAACTTGGCAATTAGAAAGACTGCTTGACACATGGGATGAGATTCACTGCTCCTTTAGTGTAATCACTGTTGATATGGATCCCATTTCCTCCTGTACTGGTACATCAACAAGTGATGCTGCAGCCACCACGCTGCGTAGGATAGGATAATATAAAGACCTTGCAAATGAGAAAAACTTCAGAAAGTCTGTGGCAGAATAAAAAATGGAATGAGTTTTCCCAGTTCCCAAATGAATGCCCTCCCTACTGTGCTGTCTCACTTTTCCTCTCTTACCATTGCTTCTCCTCTGTCTGTGAAATCTCCAACTTTTTCTGTGTTCTCAGGCTGTGGCTGAGGAAGGTGTAAGTGTGCTTGTTCACTGCTCTGATGGCTGGGATAGAACAGCCCAGGTTTGCTCTGTAGCAAGCCTTTTCTTGGATCCGCATTACAGAACTATGAAGGGATTCATGGTAAGCAGGTTCTTTTTCAGAGAGTAAATAAAAATTTTATGGTATCATTTTAGAGAACGTTAAGATGAATGGCTTTGTTTCTAATGGAAAATAAATTTCCTTTAGTATGCCTTTTCAGCTAGGTACACACCTATTTATTTTTTTTTTCCCTAATCTTGACCAAAAAACTTTCTTGAAGCCCTAAGGATTTTTTTATTTTTTTATTTTTTTTATTTTTTTTTTTTTTGTGTGTGTGCAAGCAAGAGTTTGTATTTATTTTCAGGCATCATGAAGTTGTGAGCGTCAAAATTGTGTGCTCCCTGGACACTAGATTGCAATGAATGAGCTTGTTGAAAAATCCGTTCCTTTTTCAAAGCAAACCAGCCCTAGTTGTTAAGGTAATGGGCACTTATTAGAAAGAGGTTTGAAACATTGGTAGGTTCTATTTTTAGAAAATGATGAATTACACTAATTTAAGTTGTGCTGAAATACTAGCATCCTACCTGCATCGGTCAAGAATGCTACTTTCTCTTGAGCTGTTAGTGGTGCACACTGCTTGTTATTTTTCTGCTTTCTGTAAAAATCACTTGAGATTCCAATACTGCTTGCTTACATCATATCTGGCTCGTCACTTTTCTGCTTATTCTGAAAATTACCTGGGATTCTAATACTACTTGTTTATACCATTCTCCTGCCTGCTTCAACATGTGTCAGCTCTGCTCCACTACATTGAAGGCAATATTCTCATTTTAGGTTTTAATTGAAAAAGACTGGGTTTCCTTTGGTCACAAATTTAATCACAGGTAAGGCCATGCAAAGGTTTTTCTCTCTATATATATATGTATTATGTTGTCATTTTCCACTGCCATTCTATTACTTGTTGTCATTCAAAGCATATCAACAAAACACCCTGAGTGTATCACATTTTCTCCCACTATATAATTTAGCTACCTGGAAAAATTGAAGTGAAATATTTTCTTCATATATTTCTTATATATGCACTCAAAGATTGCTGTTGGGAATACTGAGTGCTGGCCTTGCAGTTGCTGTGTGCAATGAGAGATGCACGCGAGAGAAAAGTATGTGGCTTGTAAAATGCCTTTGGAACCCAGCAGATGTTTCAGCAATGCCAAGACTTCACATTTCAGGAAAGCATCCATCTTCTAGGATAGTATTAATAGATAACTCATAGACATGCCTACAACTAAGATATACTTTTCCTATTATGCTTTTTTTTCTGATGAGAAAATTTGCTCAGAAATGTCCGAATATATGACTTTTTCATTTCATTTATCTGACAAGTTATCTTGGGCATCTGGAACATAATACTGATTGATACGAGTATAAATTTATCTTGTAGTTAAAACAAATTTTCAGGAAATCTTTGCAGTGCTACAACACTTGTGAAATTCCAGCAGGAGAAGTAGAAATTTCAATTTTAGATGTTGATGGATTTTCACTGCATTGGCATATATGTGTCATGTTTTTGTATACGCACACAGACACACACTATACATGTACTAGACAAACAGAATAATTAAAAATACTCCTTCCTATTAGAAGGACTTCTGAAGTACTGTTCTACTTCTGTGTTTTATATTTCAGGCTTCTATTCTTCAAGGTCCTCTACAGCAAGTTGTTCCAGCAGTTTTACAGATAGAAAGTTTCCCATTCTCTTGGTAGATACAGTAGCATGTAAATAATTTCCCGCTTTCTAAAAATGTAACTAAGAGAGGGCAGCCTTAAACTATTTCCTGCCAAAGTTATGCATTTCATCTCCTGCTCTGTTTTCTGGGTCTGGCAGTGGTCTACCATTCAGAGGCTGTCCAGGATAGCTCGCTGAAGTTGTTGCAGTTATTCTTAGGATGACTTCTGTTACTGTGGCACAACTGTCTAGTAATAAGGTTGAAGCATAGCTATGCAGCAGCCAGCTGTAACTGGCTGTGAGGCAACAAGATACCTGTAAGCTCTTTTGTTCCTATTTGATAAGTTCTGCTTTCCTTCTACTTCATGAGTCTTGAATCATTTTTGTAAGTAACAATATACTTGTGTTTGAGATTTCAGAAATTAATAGCTACGATATACATGTATGCTGAAAATGAGAGTTTTGTTTTCACTAGCATTAATTCAGTTTTCCCAGAATATTTCAGGTTATAATTGAACATTTTTTGTCTTGCTTTAGGTATGGCAATTTAGATGGAGATCCAAAGGAGATATCCCCTGTTATTGACCAGTTCATTGAGTGTGTCTGGCAGCTAATGGAACAGTTTCCTTGTGCCTTTGAGTTCAATGAGAGATTCCTGATCCACATACAACACCACATCTATTCCTGCCAGTTTGGTAATTTCCTGTGTAACAGCCAGAAGGAGAGACGAGAGCTGAAGTAAGAAGGCCTTTTCTTTAGTCCTTTATTCTGTCGAGGTCTGTGGGTATTACTGCGTTGAAGCTGTGCAAGGTTTCATACAGTTCAAGGTGCAGTGTATTATTCTTGGTTGTCATCTTCTAGTGACACAGATTAATACCAAAAGAGTTGATCCTCTGCAGTGGGACTCTGCTGTGACTATAATCCGTAGTGTGCATAACAGGGATTAGTGAGAGAACTGATGAGAGAGCATTAGGTCTTTAGCCACTGCATTAACAAAATACAAGGTAATTGCCCATGCAGCTTTGAAGAAATCTGAAGATGATTCTAACCCTCGTTAAGTTCTCAGTTTAAGAGTCACTGTTCCTCTGTTTCCTAACATGTATATGAGAACTACATGCTTCCTGGCCAATACTCAACTCCACCATCATATGGCATAAATTGTGTCCATAACCCAGCCTTTGTGATCCACATAAAAAGCATTGAACCTTAAAAAGAAGCAGAAAGTCTCTTTGCCTGACAGAATCATGATACTCCCTTGTAAAGCATCATTTTCTAAAGATTATTTTTGTAAAGATTATTTTGTGTAGTAACTGTCAGTGCTGGTGACATGATTACAAGCCCTAACATGACTGAATTTAACTCAGGGTAGAGAAAACAAATGACTACTCAGCCTCTGCAGCCAGTTAGCATTCATACAGATATCAGGCTTACCAAGTGTGTATGACCAGCACGAGTTACAAATGACTCCCTCCCAGTTTCACCAAGGCCTCCCTGTACTTACAACTTACATCTAATTCTGCTAAGGAAGTATAAAGCTGACTACAAAAAGAGCACTGGAATGCCTTAACAGAGCTTTATCAATACCTGAAGCATGCTAGACATGTTTATATACTTGACTATATTTTTTCAGAATCCAAGAACGAACATATTCACTGTGGGCTCACTTGTGGAAAAATCGTGCAGATTACCTGAATCCTTTGTACAGACCAGACCACAGTCAAACCTGGGGGACCCTGCACCCACAGATGGCTCCCTGCAACTTCTTGTACAAGTAGGTAATATTTCCTGCCTTTGAGAATTGTCAATGAACAGACTCCTTGCATATTTGCTGCATTCCACCCAGGAGGTTTCTTCAGCACTTTTTTAATTTTAAGAGAGGAATATCCCAATAAGTTATCTCCAATAATTACTCCACATATCACACCCTGTGACCACAGTCACTAATGCATCTCAGTGGTTAGAAGGAACTGGGGAGATCACATGAAGTCTGGTTATGAGAATTAGAGCTCAAGGGGCTCTCAGGCTGCTCGCTATTTATGGGGTAAGATGATTGGCTCATAGTCGTAGCATTTAGTGGGACAGCGTTATCAGTCCTAAGCTAGGCTTATGCATAACAACCAAGCCAAAGGAGGATGCTAGGAAGGGGGGGAGAACACCCTCACAGATGTGTTAGTACAGAAAATAATGCCTTTGTATTTATGATTCTATTCGAAAATGTATGGAGTCTGAATTCAGATTCAGATGCAATGTGTCTCTTCCTTGCATGCTCATAGTCAGCCAACACCTCTGCAGCATTCCACAGCAGAGTATTAGTCTGAAAAGAAGCTTAAGATTAGAGCTATATTGATAGTTGTGTGTCCTAATTTTGAGGTTACTCACATCTTCCACTGAGAAGCAGCTATTTCAGTTCTGTTGTCATCAATGTTTTCTAAATTTGAATTTATTTAAACTTCTTCCATTTGCAGTCATTTTTGCAATCATAATTTGATACAGTTTAATTGCCAAACCAAGCATTCGGACAAAAACAAAAGGCAGACTTTCTCCATGTTGACATTATACTTAAATATCAAGTAAAACCTGTTGTGTGTACTACTAAGATTTTTTCAAAATTTAACAATGCCTGTTAATTTTTGCAATGCTGGTATTGGCATCCTGACTCAAGTAATTAATAGTTCGATTAATCTTAACATAAGGAGAACTTGATTAGAAATACACGAAAATGTGACTTAAGCAAAATCAATTAGCTTGTTTTCTAATAAAAAGTAAAATCATTTGCTAAAATAAATACCCTGGGTGACAGGAACTGTATTTTTTCATGTCTGCTCTCCCAGGTCATAGCCATTTTAAAAGAGTTTAAAAATAGCTATTAATTGTATTCTTTGGTAAAGTGAGATTTATAAAATACTGATACTCCACTGGATGAGTAATCCAGTTGATTTTAATTGAATTACTTGGTTGCGTGAGGATTTCCAAACATGAGCTATCAGATGATAAACTTAGGAGAGAATCTGACTTAAATAATGTACTCAATAGCTTCTTGACTGCTGCATCCAAGGGCAGCTCTCTCAGTTACTTAACCTGTCTGGTGAACTACTTATATTTCCAAAGTCAGGTTCTGGCCACGTGCTTTGAGGAAAACAGAAGAGCGCTATAGCAAGCTACAGACTTGAGTTTGAGTTCTTTTCTCCCAGGGATGAAAAAGAGCTCAATGCTTAGAAGTGCACACAATGTAAATAGAAGAAAGTACTGTAGCAAAAGTTTGCGTTACTCTTGGCGGATACTTGTTCCTCTGATAGGCTGTGCCATTGCTTATCCACAATGAGATGAATTGCTGAAAGCCTGAATCAGTGAGCCATGCAAAGCTCACTATGACCTAAGTCATTCAGCTTTCTCTCTGTTTCGTATAAGAAGTGGTTCAATCTCTGTCCACTGATTTGCATCTTCAGCATAGACCTAATGTAAATGAACCGTAAACCTTACCAAATAAATATTTAATGAATGTATGCAACGTGTACACACTCCAATGACAGCTGGGAAAAAAGGAGAAAAAAAAAAAGTATGTATTTAAGTATTCTGTATTTCTGAAGCCATCTCACAAAATTACTGATCACCCCATCAATTTCAGATTCTGGAGTGGTATGTACAACCGCTTTGAAAAGGGGCTGCATCCTCGACAGTCAGTCATTGATTATCTGATGGCAGTGAAGGAGGAGACTCAACAGCTGGAAGAAGAACTGGCAGTCTTGGGAGAGGTAATAAGCACTTATTAAAACCTGGGACATTCAGACCTAATGGCAAACAAAACCCGATTCCACATGTGGAAGAGTCTCCTACATGCCTTGTCCATTTCTGCCATGAGGATGTCCATCCACTGTCCACATCCTCACATAAATTGCTAGGAATGCTTTGCTTTTGGCGTCCATAAGACACAAAGGTGGACTTCTTTCTTTAAGGAATAAAAAAAATCATGTGTTGGTGCACAAATACTATTCCTGAAGCTAATTTTGTATCATTTAGTAACTCAGTTCCGCATACTTCACAAATAGGTTTATAGGGTGCCACTTGGGTTGGGCAGTTTTTCTTTCTTTGTTTTTCAAAAGGTAAAGACACTTAAAAGGAAAACTGAGTCCTAAATGTGTGCATGTAATATATACTCTCTCCTTTATTTCAGAGATTGGCAAATCTTCAAAAACTGCAATTAAGTGGAAATAAAGTCAAGAGTAAGCAGCAAGACCGAAGCAAAGAGTTAGTGCTTTCTGCTTCCAACAACAGCTTAGCTAACACTCCCCAAGAGTACAGCAATGATCTGAAATCATTCCCATCCCGGAGCCCTTCACAAGGGGATGAAGAAGATTCAGCCTTGATTTTGACACAGGACAACCTGAAAAGCTCTGATCCTGACCTCTCAGCTAACAGTGACCAAGAGTCTGGTGTGGAGGACTTAAGCTGTAGGTCCCCAAGTGCAGGTGGCTGTTTGCCTAGCGAAGACAGTGGCAAGGATTCAGATGAAGCTGTATGCCTGGCAGTCTGAAATGCCTTCACAGCAGCAAGGATCAAGATGCAGCTGAGTCCTTCATGGTCTGGAGCGACAACTTTTAATCAGATGAAGAATGGGAATTGTCTGTGGCCTGAAGAAGTAATCCAAAGAAAGGGAACTGTGCAATTATGTAAGTAAAGATTTAGCAGAACAAGCCATTATTAAAGACATAATGCTAATCTCTGATGTTATGAATATTTATTTAAGCCGATGTGGTGTTTCCTTTCACTTTATCAATGCTGCACATAATTATTCCTCACCCTGTACATTTCCATAATTATTTATTGTACAAATTAATAGTTATTCTCCAGAAACACAAAATTCTGAAGTACTTTATGTACGGACAAAGCTGAAGGTTCATTAGCACCAGGCTTACTGGTGTATTAGTCAAAACTGATTTTTGTAGATTTTTTTTTGCCCTTGGACATAACCTTATATTCCTTTCTTTTCCCATGAGCAGTGTTGTTGGTTTTGTTTTGTTTTGTTTTTTTGAACTCCAGCAACTACTTTCCATTTTCTCCTACTACGGTCCTTTAAGGCAATGTAAACCCAGCAAATGAACATGCTTGCTGAAGGGAACAAATGCAGTATTGAGCCCAAAGATTCTTTACAAGCTGCAGCTGCTGAATGTGACTGCATCCCAATTGTACTTGATTCTCAACCAGTGCTGAAAGTTCAGAAGTTTCTGTGAGCAAAACTTCAATCAATATAACAATACTTATTACAGTCTTTATGGCAAAGAATACCTTTAAAATGAACGATGTTAGGCCGTAAGATTCTAAACATAATAAAAATCCTGTCTATTTTGACTCCTAATCAATGTTATTTCAGTGGGAGTAAGACACACACACTGCACAGGTGATAAGGAGTCCAAACTCATTCATAAAAGTCATTTATGAAAGCACTGCTTAAATTCAGAATTAAAAGTTACTGCCATACAATAATTCCTATGAAGAATATTTCTTCCAAGTTTTGTTTAAAAAACAAAACCAAGGTGTTTTTATCTGCACAAAAATTTTCTCTTTTTAGCACTTGCCAACCTCAGAAGAGCATAGTAATGCTAATTTAAGAAAATGACTAATTCAAAGAATTTTTTTTTCCTTTTCTAATACTAAAGATGGAGTGGAACAACAGAATAGAAAATATAATCTCAAGTTTGTTTTAATAATTTTCAACAGTAGGTACAATAGTTTTCATAATCACAGATATGGAAGTAAACCACTTAGGATGTTTTGAAACACACTGAAAGGCCTCAACATCAAACTGCAGTGCTTGCAAGTCTTTTTTTTTTTTTTTTTCCCCACTCCTTAATAGGAAGGAATTAACAATAAAATTATTGCATCTGCTCTTACTGGCTTGGAGGCACTCATGTGGTATTGAGCTCCAGTAAAGCAAAGCATGGTAGTAATGTAAGTTTACTTTAATTGCACTTTGTACTTCTCCTTGAAGTACAGATTTACAGGCTGAATTATATAAATATACCTCAATTTAGAAGCTTTAGATTTTATTAGTCCAGTTGCTTTTGTGAGATGTCTTTTCATTTTGTTCTAAGAACTTCTTATTAAAAATGAGTAGCTAAACTTCAGTATTATTAATATCCTAAGGAAGTTACTGTCTTTGAACAAATAATTCAATTCTTAACAGCGGGATTTATCTTACTGCTGTGCTGGGAAGGCCAAGCCTCAGTTTGATAAACCACTGTCACTCAATTAAAAATAGGGCTATGATAAATTACATGCTGCTGAAAATCTACAGCCTTCTGGTTTTTAATCTCCATGGCTTTTTATTAAACGAATGTCCTGATTTTAATTGTACTTTTAAAAATGTTTCATATTTTGAACGTAGCCTGTCAAATTTAACGGTATTAGAAGAAGTTTTGAATGGGTTTTCTCAAAGTAAAGAAACATGCTGTGAAGTCAGCATTGAAAACAAAATATGGACAACTATTCTTCCTAAAAATGAGTTTGAGAGTGGGTAATATTATTTCGCATCTTTAAAATGTAGAATTGTATATCATGGTATTGTACTGTATTAGACATGCTTAGAAACAAATGCAGAACAGGAACATATGCAAACTCAAAGTACTATCTTCATGTTGCTTATGCAATTCCTTATAACTAGCTTTACACCTGAAATATTGACATACTAACATTTTAAATGAAGTTTCTGCTTAGCAGTCTGCTGTGATGTGTCTTTGAATCCTTGGAATTTTGCACTACTACTATTGTTTTCATTGCAATGCTATGTATTTGTGACATTATTAGTGCTGAGAAACAATTCCAAATAAATATGTAGGTCATGGACAGATGGTTACATTACTTCATAATCCTGGATGAAATTAAGGTGGCTTTTTATTTCACACTTGAATCAAGTTGTTTAAGCTGCTATTAATTGACTTGAGTTTATTACATGGGAATCTGTTACATCCCTTTAATTTTTCTAGGGAATGCAGAATACAAAGATGTGAAAACCACGCTATGAACAACTGTATTTTTTTGGAGCCTTGCAGGGATCCTCCCTCCGTTGCAAATTCTTCCAAATTTGGCATAAACCCTCTGTAATTTGCAATATGACACACATGAGCATAACAAACAGCTGAGAACAAGGAATTAGAAAAGCATTATAGGTTTTTGCAGAGTAATTTTAACCTCATTTCATGGTGTTCTTTAGTAGGAAAATATGTATCTAAAGGACACTGAAGTTAACGGGATCAAACAGTGAATCAAATAGCTGATGTCTGGCTGAAGAATGGAACGAAAAAGCATTAAAAAGCATTGACCAGCTGCTTTATACACAACATCAACAAAGGCAGTAAACTGGTAATTGATTCTGAGAAGTTGAGAAATAAGATGGAAAAAGTTGGAGGGGACAGCTGTATGGGAACTGCTGAATCATGGCCTGAACCTCTGATTGATCACCTGAGGCGAGCAATGAGCCACAGGAGCACAGGTGAAGGCAATTTACCTGTGCTGCCGAAAGGGGTGGAGCCTGGCTGCACCTCTCCTAGATCCTTTTAAGACTTGGCTACGAGTGGGGAAGGATCTCTTCTGGAGATCCACTCCACCAGAGTTTTCCACGCAAGCCCAGGATACAGGTGAGTGTACCTATCATTTCTGTTTCCTGCTTTGGCGTAATAACAGCTACGTAGCCAAGCTCTCTGCTATACCATAACATCTGTATATTCATTAATTGTACAGACAGCCTAGAGGGAAGGATCTTACCAAAAGCAAGGAACAGGGAGGAAAGCCCTTCATAAAATTAAGTGAGGGGGGGAGCTACACTCTTAGAAGTTACAGTGAGTTTACATAGCATAGAAGATGTTTGGCAATACAAATAATACAATAACAGCAATAACAAAGAGGTGGCCTTTGCCTCGAGGATAAAGATTTCAACAGAAGTACAGCAAACCTGTATTGAGAAAGGCCAGAAACATTACCAGAGAACTGGGAGATAGAAAAGAATATTAAAATAAGCATTTAACTTACATTATTTAGACTGGTAACAGTAAGGCACCAGAAGCCAGCAAATACTGTTTTAAAATTCAGTAGCTTTCTAATATGAAGCATTCTGTAAAAGAATCTAACTAGACTTTACTGGTTCACTAGAACCAGTGACTGAACTGAAGCAAGGACGTGTTTTTAAGTCCGTGGCTTGCGGAAGTATTTTGAACAATGCACTGTACTCAATGACTGAAAATTTCAGTTCTTTTCTTACTTTGCTACAGTACTCACTTATTACTGGTAGACAGGCTTTCTTTGTAGCTTATTACTATATTTGATCTCTAGGACTATCTGATCAAGCCAAAACATGTAAAAAAAGCTTTAACTAGAGCTGCAATACGGGTTTTCAAAACCCATTTTAATGAAGATGACTCCAGGAATTACTGCAGTTCAAAGAGTTAAACAAAAAAAGCTCAAAACACTGCATACAAAGAATGGAAGTTTATCTTTTTGAGTAGTTTCTGCACCACCGGTTTCCAGCCCAACATCTGAAATGCATGACTCTATCCGTAATTTAAAACAACTACCAAATTTGTCAAAAATCCCAAAGCCTTTATTTGTAAGTTTAACACAGTACAGTATTTATTATTCAGAGTAATGTACACAATAAGGCTGTAATAGCTGACTTTAACTGTGTTGCCTGTGTTTTATTTCAGCTTTCTCTCTTAAGAGACCGTTCCTAGTCTTCAGTGGGAGTAATTAGAACTCGGTCAGAAACACGACTAAAAGATTTCTAACTTCTGCATTTGATCAAGGTCCAAAGTGGCAAAGCTGAAGCAGTATGTACAGAGCAAAAAAGACAATTAAAGATTAGATATTACTCAGAACTAATTTTTATAGTCTTTTGCTTGTAGCGTTGGTTAGCATAGCTGTACATATCTGACAGTCCTTGTCTTTCAGAATTGTTTAGCATGTAAAATGAGCTGTGAAATCTAAGAAAGCTTTCTTCTATAATCCCCAACAGAATGTACCATTAACAGCAGTTGTATGCGATTTCCCCCTAAAAGGAAGCCTAATTGATTTCAGACATACTGCAGACCAGAGAAATTTTAAAATACCATTGAGTTACAATTGCTATATGGAGCAATCAGTTCTGGATTTAAGTAGCCTCTTGCCAAGAGGACTAAAATCAACTACAGAAAAATAAAGAACAGGAGAACATTTTGCGGTGAGATCAGATACTTTAACAGGCACAACTAGGCTCAATTAGCAGTTACAAAACAGAATGGGCTGTCGCTCCCACCCCAAACTACTGCAGCACCAAAAACACCAAAGTCACCTCCTTACTTTCACATTTCTTACTTATTTATTTCACTCTCCCGTTCAGCAAAACACCTCACTATGGATGTGACACGGGAAGGTCTTCAGAAACCAGTCACTGTATGCAACCTATTACTTCAGACTGCTGAACACATTTCAAAAGATTGTAGGATATGCATCTAACAGCAGTTTCAATCCTCTTTCACTTTATAGGGAATTGCTTGAAGCTCAATTTACAAATACACCTCACATTTCTGCAAAATAAGGTAAGGAACATGCTTCACTATGAACTATCAGCATGCTAGATTCCAGTTACCTCTCACAGAGTAATAATTGGTGTTTTATTATGTGTTCTGGTGACATTAAGAAAGCTAGCTTTAAGAAGTGTTTGCATTGGCACAACTAGTATTAAACCAAAAGGACAACAAAAGAAAATAAAAAGCAACAGCACTGACAAAGACAGCAGCAGACTGGCATATCCTGCAAGAGCCAGAAGCAGGCTGGCCATTCCTATTTGTTTTACAGGATATCTGTAATTGACTAAGTACACCACTGATGGATTCAGGGTGTTCTGAGCTTCTGTTCTAGAGGATGAATTTTTAAATGCTTTATAAAAAAAAAAAAAAAATCTTAAAAAATAGAAACAACACTTTGAGACAGAAAATAAAAAGGGAGAAAATGAAGGACTTCAGATTTTCACATCCCTGTAAAAGAAACACTGTATGAAGAACTTGCATGGAACACTGACATCTTAGATTCTCCCTCACTACCATCGGAAGGACTGTATGGAGAAACCCTATGTTTCTACGTGTGATCTCTTGGAAAACAGAAATAACCTAAGAGAAAAGGCTCAAGTGTGGAAAACTCCTACTAGTTTGAGAAGCAAATTCTCTGAAAGTGACCTGGCTGGAGAATTCACTCACTACAGAAGAGCACCATAATGTGTAATGTTCAACAGAAGGTAGCAATTCCATAGGATTATAAGATGTGCAAGGAAAACAGCTGTCCAACTGAGGAAGAGCTGCAGAAATCACATTACTGGGAGATTTGTGTCCAGAGCCTCCTGAAAACCTTTCATGCAAGTTTGTGTTGAACTGGGGCTTTAGTTATCAAATTAGCAGAAGTACTGTATCAATATAAAAAGCACTATTATGCACAGTCAGTGGAATTTACCTTTTAAGATATTCTGTACATTATTGCTTAATCAGTGGCACTTACAATTAATTTTTTCTTCAGGCACCTATGTATCTTTTTTGATTTGGACCACAGTTGTATTTTTCTTGGGATAGCCAATCTCAGAATTTGGGCCAGCTTTACAAACAACCACCACCACCACCACCTCAAACAGCAGTAATACATTTGCCACGAAAGGCAGTAGTTTAAGACAGACAACCACAATACTGTAAAGTACAACAGGACTGATATTAATGTTCCATTTGGAGATTCACTAGCCTGTGGTACTGACTTCTTACAATTAAGCTTGTTAGATTTTTTCTTAACTTCAGATTTACTCATTTTTCTCCAGTTCCAAAGAAATATCATGTCCCATTTTGCCAGTAGTGAGTACAGGACTGATAGTGATACAGAAGAGTACTCTTCCGAACCAGCATTAATGATTCTACGACCTGCTTTAGAATGAGACTTGAATCTGTGATGCTTTGGCCCTACCTAGGTAAAATAGAACAGTGTCTTTGTTAAGAGGGTTATCTCCAAACTGTTTCCTGATAAGGAAGAAGCAGGCTCCCTGACAGACCACTTATTCAGTTCTTTACCATATTTCTCTTCAAGAACAATACTTCTGTTCTTCTGGAACTTCATCATCTCAACAAAAGTCTAATTCACTGACAAGAACAAGATCTTGCCTTTTTGCAAGAGCAAGAGAGAATATACATAGATGTGCTTTGGGATTGTATTTTTGTCCTACAGAATACTGCGCTTAGTCCTAGCCATTCTCATCTAATACATGTTTACACTAAAAAAGAAACAAACAAGTTGTCTAACCTGAGACAAGATTCAGTGATTAAAGGGCAGACTTAAGGCTCACTTACAAGTTTATCACTGGCCTTAACACAGCACACAACCTAACTGTAGCCAGATCAGTTCCTTTGTTGCTTAAAAACAAGAGGGTAACTGCTACTTCAAAAGAAATTCTGAATTAAATTTTGTAGTGTCTTTGAGTTCTTCACACATAGTCGCATGGCACAAAACACAAACTAGCAGGTAATCTGACTTGTTTCTCAATAAGTAAAAACGAACATGAAAATGAAATTGTTAGATGAAATTGTGTTTAATTACAGTGCTAGGTACCAGGCCACACCTGAAATCAAGTGTATCGGTGCTACTGAGCAACATATCAAATCTACACAGAGATCATTCATTCCATTTTGTTTCCAATGCAGTTTGTTCCAACACAACTTTTGCTTAATCCAGATCAGCTTATCCAAAACAGAGTATAGGCTATAATTAGTTTTGTGTTATCACTTAAAAGTAACAAAAACTGTTCTTAAACATTTTGGCTTTAAGAAAAGACAGCTTGTGAATTTACTGACTATCTCCAATTACGAACTTCTTCAGTTTCCAAAGCTCTATCACCACTTATCTCAAACTCTTCCACAGATCAAGCCAAATCCTTTTAAATTTCAAAATACAAAAGATATGAATTATGCTTTTATAAAAATGTAAAAAGCTAGTCAAAATTACATATTTAGATATTTAATCTTTGAAGAATGGGGTATAGCAGCAGGAACTTAAATATAATAAGAACTATCAACAATAAATACAAGAAATTAGTGCAAAGTTTGCAATAGAAGGATTCTTGAGTACAATGAGAATATAAAGAGACATTCTAATTTGTACAAAAACAGTCCCAGCTCTGTATACAATCTTCTATAAATACAACCACATAAGATGAAATGCCTATTTGCAAATAATAGTTATTAAAAAGTGTGCTTTACTGGGTTTTTCACTCTTCTGTTGGCAGATGTAGTTTGCAGGAAACCTGTAAAGACAGATTTCCAAAATTAGATATATTAACTCCTTCAGGAAGTGTCTTAAATTTCAGTGAACAGGTGCAGCACACTTTATTCCCAAGCCAAGCATTATTAAAACTCTAGGCATTGCAACAAATCCATTGCAGTTAGCAATTTGTGTGTAACAATGTGGTAGATTAAAAAAAAAAAAAAGTTCATCACAAATATTAAAACAGCAGTTTACCTATAGTGGAGCATGAAATTGGCTGTGCATTGCTATTGCCTGTTGAAGTTTTTCTTCTTTGGCTCGTCTACAGTGGCAGAGCTGGAAAACAAGAGACAGGAGAGTCAATTCTGAAAGGAATTTTGCACAACATGTACTGCAGATTCTCTTTAATGACTTAGCTACTGTATAGGCTCTTTAAGAAGGGAAAGACCTGTGAGCCTCCCTTCCAAACTCAAGGCTGAACAACTGTGTATACTGATAACATTGTTTCATCCACAACTGCATACATTAAAAACATTTCCTTTATTATCAAATGCATTTATCAGGTACCTTTAAAGAAAGGTGCATTATACAGTAAGTTGCACTCATCACTGCACGAGCACTGATTTTGAACCTACAACTTACTTGGAGATAGCCATCAAAAGACTTAATTGGTTAAAGAACTTTAATAACTTCACCGTTATTCATTATAACATGTCACGCTATACCAACTTCCAAATATAAAATTTTTGTTCCCTGTATCTACAGACAATACAGGCAAAACTGGCACAAAAATACCTGCAACAGCACAGGCAGGGGTCTAGTGGAGAAGATCTTTTCATTCCTGCCTTAAATTTATTGCATCCAGAACGCTGATTCTATTTTAAATAAACCGAAATTTTTTGGAGCTTGCTAAAGCACCCTCTGAATTATAGCACTGCTCAAAATCTGTCTTAATTTATTACCTATATTCTGTATATCTCTCAGATTAGAATGACTTGTATTTTATATACCGTTCTCTTTTCCATGAAGCTACTAAGAAAGTCATCTATTTCTGTTTTGCCTTCCAAGAAGTCTTCTGCAATAGTGTCAGATTCCTCTTCAGCTTCATGAGCAGCTACTTTAAGTCTGGCTTGCAGAGCGCTTGGACTGCAACTCTAAGAAAATAAAAACTTCTATTAATGCTGCACTGCCCATCTAAATCCACATTACCAAGAAGAAAAAAAGATAGATGGCTATATAAATATGGGATACATGAATAATACAGAATCACAGAATCAGAGGGGCTAGAAAGGACCTCTAGCTATCATCTAGCCCAACCCCCATGCAAAACAGGCTCCCTAGACCAGGTTGCACAGATGTCCAGGCTGGATCTTGATCACTTCCAGAGAAGGAGACTCCACAACCTCTCTGGGCAGCATGTTCCAGTGCTCCATCACCCTTACCATGAAGATCTTACACATATTTGTGTGGAACTTCCTATGCTTCCATTTGTGGCCGTTTCTCCTTGTCCTATCACTGCACGATGCTGAAAGAGTTTGGTCTTGTCCCTTTGCCTCCCACACCTAAAGACATTGATCAGATCCCCTCTCAGTCTCCTTTTCTCAAGGCTGAAGACACCCAGGTCACTCAGTCTTTCCTCATAAGAGAGGTGCTCCAGGTTCTTTATCATCTTTGTGGCCATGTTTTACTACAAGAAAGTCTAAGTGACCAAATGAATCTCTTAAAAACAGCACTGCGTGGAATTCAATGCCAGAAGCCAGTTCAACAGCATATGCAACACGCTGCACAAAGTAAGCATACGCAGCGAAGCACAGAATTTAAGTTTCTACAGCAATAGTTTTAATCATTTCAATCAGGTACGGCTTTACAAGTTTGCTATGTTAAATGGGTACAATTAAACCCTTCTTTATAAATAATTTTACTCTTAAAACTCTATGCCACAGTACTTAAGAGCAGCTCTAAAGGCTCATCATATGCCCTTCCAACTTTGTTTCTACAGTACTGTAAGAAAAACAGCAGTGCAATTTTAACATTATTTTGCTCTCAAACTGGTTGGAACTTCATACCACTTTATTTCATCTCTAATGTGAATCTTATTATTTCACATAAAATTAGAATCTAATCAGAATATTCTGTTTGGATAAAGATACAAATCAAAACTTAAGTTCAGTGAAGCATTCTTAAGATAAAGAGATTATACCTCACTAAGTTCATGCTGTCTTTGCATCTTTTTTTCAAAGGCTGCTTTCATCTGTGTGAGTTGCTCATACTGAAAGAAAGAAGAAAGAATGTTTTCCCCCTGAAAAAGCAAAATATTACAACTAATTTCTGAAAAACATTTTACTGTTCACTTACTTTATCCAACACTGTCTGTCTTTTTGCCTCTAGACTGGGCTCCAGCAACAAATTTTTTTCTGTAAAATAAAGTTGCTATTATTATTATTATTTTAAACGATTCAGTTCTCAGAATGCAGAAACATATTCTTTTTTTTTTTTGACATCTTACTTGCCAGCTCTTCAATGCTTTTCACTAACTCATCTCTATCAGTAATGACTTGCTTCAGTTGTGGTAGATTCACAAACTGTTCCAGCAACACCTCCTCTTTCTCATTCATATTGGTCAGCTCTGATATACTACATTCAAACAGAAAGAAAACATATCCGAAGTTAAAAATAAGCATTACACGAAGAGTCTTTCATTTCTGTCAAAAGACAAAAGTTTGAGGAATTCACCAGGAACTTTACAGATACAGCACGCTTAGCCACAGCTTTTTACCCTTTTCTCATGGATTGTGAGCTCTATTATGCAGCAGTGTGCTTAAAAACCTCTGTATTAAGATGTATCCCACATTTTAAGCCTTACTTCAAAGCAGTTTTAATGCTACTGTGGCAGACTGACCTTGGCTGCTTTGGCACCTGGCAGCCAACTGCCCCTCGCTCTGTTCCTTAGCAGAATGTGGGGAAAAAATAAGATGGAAAAGTGCGTGGCTTGAGACAGACACAAGGGAAACTACCTGCTGATTTCTGTCACAGGCCAAACAGACTCAACATGGAAAAAGTATTTTAATGCCAACTGAGTTAGGTGCTGAGAAACAAAGATAAAAACTTGCTCCTAGGCTCAATATCACTCTTTTATTCCCAACTCACCCCCCCACCTCCCCCATTACCCCAAGGGAAATGTGGATTGCAGTCAGTCCGTAACACAATGCTCTGCAGCTCCCTCCTCAACTCTTCCCTCTGCTCCAGTGTATGTCCTCTCCATGGGCTGCAGCTCATGGCAGGAGAGCCTGCTAATGTGGGCTCTCTGCAGCAGCAGTCTCTTTCAGGGCATATCTACCTGCTCCAGCATAGGGTCCTCCATAGACTGCTTTGACATGGTTCTCTGCAGGTAAATATTTGCTCCACAGTCCCTCCTGCACTCCTCCTTTTCTTGTACTTGCTGTTCTCAGGACTCACGCTTTCCCCACCTATTCCCACCCCCCACTCTGCTGCTTTTACAACTCTTCATTGCTTTTACAACTCTTTGCTTTTTCTTAAAGATGTTTTCATAGAGCTGCCATCAGCTCTGCTGATCAGCTCAGCTGTCCTGCAGGAGGTTAGCTGCTCAGCCTGGCACAGTGGCAGAACATGACCCTTTCTCACAGAGACCCCCAGTGCAGCACCCATGTACCAAAGCCTTGCCACCTCTACCCAATAAAGCTACTTAGTGTAACTGCATTACCGTTCATGACTTTTAAATACATTTATATTGCTAAGAAATCCTATCACTTCAACTACACCCCTCTCATACTCTGTACAAACTTTATGTTACGTATTGCAGATGCTGCTAAAAGTTATAACTGACTTAGCTAAATTTAACACGAGCTCTTCAGAAGGTGTCCAGGGAAACTAACAAACAAACCCTTTTTTGCCAAGGCCTTTTCCTTTTTGAAAGGACACTGACAATAACATTGATAATAATCTGTGATGACAGCATAAAAAAGCAAGGCCAGAAAATGAATAAACTGACTTCCTAAAACTTCTGGAATTCGTAATTAATGAGTATTGTATCCAATCGCAGATAACTGATTCAGAAGACTGTCTCACTACAAATGAGGGAGTTGCTGGGAACACTAATTGACACAATTTTTGAAACACGATAAAATATATTTTGATGAAAATATTTGCATAATAAGTATATGAATTGAATTATTCAGATATGGAGGTGATTCGCCCTGGGACAGTTGGCAACTAACCACTTGGATTTACCTAATCTAACCCTGCTGCATACAGTGAGCTGCTCACAAAGTAGTCCATTGTTTATCTTTTGCTACAGTCCAACCATATAAGAGAATGTTATTTCTGAACTAGTTTCAAGTCCATTTCCCTGTCACTTTTCTATTTAGAAATTTCCTCCTACTATTTTAGCAGCAATTAAATCACTAGTGAACGTCTGAAGACAGCAGAATATTGACAGTTAGGAAAGCAGAAGTAAATGCTCTTTTTTCTGGTGTTGAATCCTGAAGTACTGTTCCCATTCAGAAAACCTTAAAATAGAAGCCTGTCTAAACACAAGGCTGGCTCACTTTCTCACTGTACAATTTTGGTAACTGGTTGTTTGGTAACAACAATTACTACAAAGACATTTCTGTGATATATTCAGAATTATGACCAAAATCACACACAGCAGTAACTGCCTTTTAATGACTATGGAAAAATTATTTACCTCAGTTCCAGAAGTTCTGGAAAGGTATCAGGAATATCAGGCATCTTGTAAGTAAATCCATTCTGGCCAACCTAAATGGAAGATAAGAAATGATTAGCAGGTTTTTGAAGAGTGATTTTTTGGTAGATAACCTGATTAATCCAAAAATGGAGGTGAATGTTCACCAGCAACAAGTAAAATAGAAAAAGTAATAAGCAACTGTAATGCTGTCTCCAAACAGAGAAAGTCTCAACTCAATTATCACAACAAAATATAAAGGGATGTCTGAGATGGCATGTCAAAAAAAGGTCAATTTTGGAGGGAAAAAAAAAAACACTGCATTTTGCTAAGTCATTAATTTCATAACAGTCAAATAACTGAGGAAACACACGAGAGGAGTATAGCTTGGGGAACTGAAAACAGAGAAAAGAAATTGACATTCTGATTTCCTGCATGTCCTTCCCTCCTACCCCTCATAAAAAGTTTACAAAGGAGGAAAAAAAAAAATAAAAAAAAAAAATCTGTCTTCAGAGGCCAAAATTTTAATTTCTACAGAACTGGAATTGTGGCTTCCAAGATGAGAGAAGCTTTGCTTCTAAAGACAGAGTTTTATTCTTGTGATGAGTAGAAGACTGAACATTTGTCTATGAAGTTCCTTTTTGGAAGGCACTCAAAAAAATTCCTCCAGATTGCAGGAGTTTGAGGAGTGTGCAAGTTCAGACATTCAGACCCACAAAGAGACGCTATTTGAAGCAGAAAAATGAGAAACTCTTCACGTTCTACACATGAAGGCTCGACACTGCGCACTTTTCTCACCAGACAGCCTTTGGGCAGGAAATCCTGTGTAGAAAAGCACCTCATTTTCTGTACCTAGATTAACAGTCACAGCTGCTGGCGAGAGCGCAGCTCAAAAACTAGCATCAAAAATTAGCATCATTCCAGGTCACTGAAACTCAAAAACATGTTTGGCTGAAGCCAAATTGAAGTTTGTTCTTAAAAAACCTTCATCACAACCAGAATTAGTTTCATTTGCCAAGCACCAGCAAAACAATTATTTGAGTTTTATTCAATGCCATGTATGCCTTTCAGTGAATTTGCACCCAGTGTCTGATGGCTTAAGCAGTAAATCTCAATACACAGACCTGAAGCACTATTTCTGCTGTTGGAACAGGTAGTGGCAGATCAGCAATCAAGCCATAAGAGGGAGCAGCAGGCTTTTCTGTAGTGTAACTTGAAGAAACTGATTCAGAGGCAGGCACGGGTGCCATTGTTCTATTTGTTTCTTGAGGTGGGTATGGAGGAAGAAACGGAAACCCCTGAGGAGCATATGGAGGCATTCCAGCTGGTTTGCTGTAAAGGCTAAAACCAACAAAAACCGTGGCCATCAGCAACCAGCTGCTTAGAACACTTTTCTTATCATTGGTATTATAATTGCTAGACCACAGACAAGACACACCATTGAATTTTCAAGACCATAAACTTGGCATTTTCTGCTCATATTTACTTCTAACATAAAAAGGATATAGTTGTGCAACAAACACACAACTTTATTGAGCTATTTACTTGTAGAGCAAAAAAAAACCAACACACACGCACTCTTAATTCTAATAAAACAACTATTTAAACACTTCTTAAAACATAAATTTAAATTATATATATATATCTTAAAATCCTGAGAAATGCATGTGTCATTCGTTAGTTCTTGTTTACAAGGTAGAATTTAACAGCTTTGACAACACATTTGTAACCACTCTCCAATAACATTATTTTTTTTTTAAATTCAGAGCTGCAGCTTCATCTAATCCAAATATCACTGTCAGACATAAAAAGCACTGTGTACAGACAAGGCTGTAATGTCTCAGGCTCTGCATATTTAGTATGATTATTTAAAACTGTAGTTACACATGCGCAATGGAAAACAACTTCCAAGCCTGGAACATTATGAAAAATACAAAGAAGCAACACTCAGATGATGATGTAAAGCAAATTCAAGATTTTATCTATTGTAAATATTAGTGCATTTTCAAGAAAAGAGAAGCACATAAAGTTGCATGAGCATATAAATCCCATCAAGTCTACCATTTCTTCTCAAAATACTTTATGTCATCAAGCACACACATCAGTTTGTGTAGATGCAAAAGATATGTGTCTCCCAGTAAATTTACCACAATATTCCTGCCCTCCTAATATTTGGTTCCATCTTTTTTAAGCTAACTTAGTTATACAAGATTACATATCAGTATCTTTATAGACACTTACTATGGAAATGATGTTGAACTAGGAGCCAGGACTGGTGGATTTTTCCAAAACTCATCCAGTAAACTTTGAATAATTTTTCCAAGATCCGAGTGCATTGTAAACTAGTATGAAAGAAAAAATCATTACTAAAGCTAGATACAGAAGAAAAATTATTCCTGTAATCTAGCAGTTAAAAAATATGAGCATGAACATTTACCATGCCCACATGGCAGTTTCAGAATGCATTTCAGAAATGCATTGTCTGCTGTAAATTGCTTATGCACAACCTCCAAATGCTTTAAGTAGCAAAGCCATTCAGAACAGAAACAGAAAGTTGAAAAACTTTTTTGCGTATTCCATTGTCAATAGAGAAGAATCAATTAAGTACAAAATTTCTGATGAACAATGAAAACTTAATTAACGAGCCCAAAAGATTTATGTAAGAGATCAAACGCATAATTAGTTGCACCATTCAGGAAATGTCACTCTAAACAAACAAAACTGGACCCCTCCCCCAACAATATCATTTTTGGTGTGGGGGGGAAAGAAAAAAAAAAGAACAGCATATGAAAGTCCTGCTTATTAGGGCAAAACTTTGATATTCTTCTAAGAGGATTAGGGTTGAAAGAAGTAGGTAACAGAACAGTCTAAAAACATCTTTCTTACTAATTTGTGATTCACTATAGAGAAACATGAACTGTGCTATCAGCACTAACAAGAAGAGACAGGGACAGTCTAAGCTATCTTAATTTTAACTCTGTAGAATACTCAACTCATTAATAGCAGTAAGAACAGAATGAACAGTATACTGAACAGTACTGAATCTGTTTTCAAACCAAAAACATATGAGAAGGATGAACATCAGCATTAGTCTTTTTGAAAAAACCAAACCAACACAAGTACTGTCAATAATCTACCACGATGCACTAGAATTGCTATTAATATATGTGGAAATACAAACTATACATACATTGTTTATTAGTGGACCAGTCACATATACTCCCTGCTTGTCCATTAGATGATGTCTCACAGGTGGGAAAACACTGATGACTGGTTTTTCCTGAGGAAACTGAGGTGGAAGCAAGCTGTAAATACAAGAATAATTGTTAATACATCCCATAAAGTGTGCTTCAAGAAGGCTTCTTATGCAAAGCAAAAGCACAGTAGTTCACATAACCATACTCTTCTATGAAAACCATTATGGAGATACACCATGAAGTACAAGAGAAAATTATTCAGTTACAAAATCAGAACTCAGTAATGAAACTTCACAGAGATTAGAATACTACATTTTCATGGAACAGGAGAGCGTTTACTGAGAAGAACTGTAGGAACAGTGATGCAATTATGTCCACTGGCAAAGAAAAACCTATAATGTGTTGAGAATACTTTCATACAAATTGTATTACTCTAAAGTGAAGTATTCAGCATAATTTTGCAGGTAAGTCAGCAAAACTGCGGGGCTGAGTAATAAAAAAAACTTGAGAATTGAATGTTATCAACATTTACCAAAGCAGAAGCACCCCCTCACCACAAACAAATTCACAGGGTATATTACAACAAATCACTTTCAAACCATTATCCAGAAGCTTCACTGTGGTAAAAGCTGATACCAGAAGTTGACATCGGATCAGTCAGTTAGGATTTGCTTTCACCTGTCAGGGACTCAAAGACTCAGAAATCTTCAGAGAGTTTTCCACTGCTCACCTTCAGTTAAAAATATGCAGATATCTCAGGAACTGAGCATGGCAAAATATGATTACTCTTTGACCTGAGCATCTGCATTATGGACAGAGCTAGTTTCAGTCAGACTACCAAGACTATGAAGGCAAATTGGGGCAATAGTTCCTGCAATTAGATATGAGATGGACCTACTTATGTTCCATTACTACTTTTGATGAGAAAATTATACTTTTTAAGACATGCATTTAGAGATATCCCACCTTACTTACATGTTAATATTAATTGTCAAGTTGTTTACAGTGAATGGCAGTCGATATTCCACATCTTTCTGAATTTCTGCAATGCTGTCAAAAAAGAAATTTTTAGTATCCAATTGATGTCCAGTATGACAGCCTTGGTACCTATTCTCTAAAAACAGGCAAAATCTGAGACATTTTCTATTTCGTTTGAAAGCTTTTTAAGAATAAAACTGAAAACACTGGAATAAGTTAATATGCTTTAGGATACTATAATGAAATACTGAAGATTAAGGAAAAAACTTCAAACCTCAGCATTATCAGAAGCAGTACTAATACAGGCAGAGCAATGGCGATCTGTCAACACTCCCAACTTATTTTGCATCCCATGCACAACAAGGTATTGCCACCTTGCCTACAAAGCAGTGTAAAAGCACAAATAATACTGGCTGCTTTCTTAACACGATAATAAATTATTTAATAGGTATGTTTTTGTTGCATACACTAAGTCCTGTGCACTTACACTGATATTTTCAAGAACTTTTACCTGGAGAAAAGCTACTTGCCAAAAATTGAAGGCCCTAATGCAGGGATAATCAAGAGACAGACTCCCTGAAACCATCAAGTGAAAAAACTTCTCACAAAAACTTATGAAACTGAATTGAAATGTGCTCCTTCTGGGAAAATCTTTAAAATCAGCTGCATTAGTAGAAAGGTGATTTCAACATTCAAAACACTCTATGATTTTACACATAGCAAGAGTGTTTTGAAAGATGGCATCCCAAAGAATGCAAGGAGAAGGAGATTTTGCTTGGATGCATAATTACCTGACAACGTAAACCTAGGATGAGATCCTGCTTTAAAGAAGGGGCAGAAAATCAGCCTCATACAATCCCTCAGTCAAAACAAAGCTTTCAAGCAGACCACTTCCTCTGCCACATACGTTTCCCGCCTTCAAATGGTTACTAATATACTCCTCTGACATAAGCTCCCATGTAAGCAGAGGGAACACAGCTAGGATTGGTAATAATCACAGCTGGGTGCTCCTTAAAAGCCTCTTTGCAGCCAATTTCAGAAATACCCCTGCATTCTCTGCCAGATACAATCTGTACAATTACTTCTCCCCCTCCCCCCTCCCCCCCCCCCAAAAAAAAACCCAACCACTGTTATCTGCAAATCTATGTTATTACAGTGTTAGGCATGTTTCCTATCTATCCAAAGCATCATTTGCACATGTAATTTACAACTCTAGCTTTCTGAGCTTCAGGAATAAAGAGAGTAAGTTACAAATCCAGCTACACACCACATGTCCCCCAGCCTGACTTTATCCCTCTCCCAAGAAACTCAGTATCCACTCTCTCCCTCTGTGATAACTCATGCTTTTTGAGGAAACCATCAGACATCAGAACTAAACAAACAAGAGTTGAAGGTTCTCCTCTGGTACACCATGCACAGGAATCATCATTCTTCCTTCTTAACTGAAGGATTCTCACTGTAATCTCTCACACATTCCTACCCTTAAGACACTGGTATGTCAGCACCTTAACAGCCAGACACAAGATTGTCTTGAGACAGGTATATAAATGTGCACCCCTCACTTGCACAGCCTATAGGAACTGGGGACGGAGAGGAGAAGCAGGAGACAAAAAACAAATGACCTCATTGTGCTGAAACCTTCTACAAGCAAAGTCTTCGACCAATAAAATGAATTGTTTCTTTCCCAAGTGGAAATGGGTGCACATGAAAAACCACATTCTTAATTTTGGCTAATACAGCAAATACAAGAAAACTGTTGTTTTTCTTGTTTGTTTTGTTTTTTAATAATAATAACTTTAGGTGAGCTTCTCTGTACTACAACAAAAAGAGCAGGAATATAGGACTCAGTAAGGCGGGCCCAACAAAAACATCTAGTTCAGTAAGGTGTTGCATACCCAAGAGAAAACTTCTTAGAGGAGTGAGCCACCTTTCCAAAATATTTGTGAAACTGGCTCTGAACACACTTCAGTTCAAGCAAACAGCAGCAATAAGCAATATTTTTATACTTGTGCTTCCCATGTGCTAACTCACAGTAGAGTTGTTTGCACCTAGTAAGTCTACAACCACAAGCAGTTGCTCTTTCACCCTTGGTATAAGCTGAACACAACACAAAACATTCCTTTTTATAGATAGCTTTTGGAGATTGCTATCAAACCATTTCAGAGGGACCGGCTTCCTCAGAAGCTCGATGACTGCTTACATGGTCACTGAAATGGAGAGACCTGAAGCGTGGGTATCTTTGCAAAACGAGACGAGCATGGTTAGCAGATCAAGAACACGTGAAACTGATTAGCAGTTCCGCCATCAGAAATTTCTCAGAACGAAGAAAGGTCTAGTGCTGTAAAATTGTGGCTGTTGAACAGGAGAAAACCCTGCCTACATCTGCGGTGAGCATCCAGGGAAAACAAGCCTCTCGTACAGTCCGTTCTCAACGAAGAAAAGCCGTGCCTCCCAGCAGAGCAGCTCCCAAGGCCAGCAGGACTGCCGTGCCGCTGCTGCTTGAGCGACAGAACCTTTACACCGGATGTTTCATCCTTCGCTTCCAACAAGCACGTTCCTCTAACCCGTTCCCAGGAAGCTCCCCCCGCCTCCCGGCCGCGTCCCGCAGAGCCGCTCCGCTCTCCCGCCCCGGGCAGGCCGAGGGCCGGCAGGACCCGTCAGGGCTTCACACAGACGGGTCCGATCTCGGCCCGAACCCAGCCCGGGGTCGGCGGGAGGGCCCTCCGGGGGCGAAGTCACGCCCAGGCCCAGACGGGGCGCCCGACCCGGCCGCGGCCACTCACGAGGCGTGCGCACCGCGCAGGGACTCAATCTGCCGCTGCTTCTGCTGCTGGAGACTGGTGAGGGCGGGCAGCGGCGCGGCGGACGAGGAGGCGCCGCCGCCCTTACCGAGAGGAAACAGCCAGTTCATGGCCGCGCCGCGGCCCGACGGGCGGCCGGACACCGGTGGAACCTCGGCCCGGCCTCCGCGCGCGCACGCGCACCTCGCCGCCACCTCCTCCCCCCCTGCTTCCGCGGCCGCGCGCCAGTCGCGTCATCGCCGCGCGCCGCTCCGTCAGAGAGGGAGGGCGGGGCGAGGAGGGAGCGGGGCGGAGCCGACGGCGATTGGCGGCCCCGCGAGCGGCGGCGCGGGAGGGCGGCGGCGCGGCGGGTGAGGCGATGGGGGGAAAGGTCGCGAGGTGGCGCGCGGCGATGATGTAATGGCTTTGTGCGGCGGGCGCTGCGCTCTCTGCGTGTTGCGCGCCCACTCGCGGCTCCGGGGCGGCGGGGGCCGCGGGGGCCTCGCAGGACCTGGCCCGGCCCCCCCGCGGCCCAGCGCGTGAGTGAGGGGCGGGTGGCAGCGACGGGGGGCCGCGCCCCGCCGTTCTCTCCCGGAGCCGCGCCCCGCTAGGCCTCGGCCCGAGGACGCGGTGGGGCTGCGGCTCCGAGGCGGCCCAGGGGCGGAGGAGGCGTCGGGGAGCCTGCGCGGCCTTCTGGGGGTGCGCCGGTCCCGAGGGGGCGGGGGAGCGGCCGGACAGGCGGGCGCGGAGGGCGTCGTGGCGTTCTGTTGCGGGGAAAGGGCTTGGAGACTGCTCGGGGTGCGTGGGAGGCCACGGCTCCCTGGGGACGCTTCTGGGAGAGCGGCGGGGCCGTGTCCGTGCGCGTCCCGCGGTGCCCGGTACCGCGCTCGGGACCAGGTGGGCTCGCTTCGTGCCCCCGAGATCGAAAAGCGTCATCTCTGCTCCGTGCGGCGCCCCGACCGGCCGCCCGTTGGTACTCGGCGGCTCTCGGACGCGGCGGAACGCTGGGAGGCGCTTTGCCGCTTTGCTTTATGCCACGCGCAGCCGTGGAGCCCGAAGGAGCGCGTTCCTCTGACCCGCTTGTGGGCCCGGGTGTACTTTTGATTCGCTGTACTGCTTGCTGGCGGACCTGGCTTTTTGCACCAAGTACAGTTACCAGCGGAACGCTGAGGGTTTTATTTTGGGTGAGAAACTCACGTAACTGAAACGCACGTGGTTCTAGTGGCTCTGCTTTGAAGGGTGAAGCTTATACCTGCTCTTAAAGCATCTTTTCCAGATAACTGACAAATGAAAACTTAATACTTTATTTGTCTCTTAGGTAAAAAAGACAAGTAAGGTTCTCTTTATGAAACTGATCCTCAGTCAAGTGTAACTTTTGATGTACGGTCTCTAAAGCCCCCCACTATGCCAGCAGCTACCGTAGACCATAGCCAAAGAATCTGTGAGGTCTGGGCTTGTAACTTGGATGAAGAGATGAAGAAAATTCGTCAAGTTATACGGAAGTATAACTATGTAGCTATGGTAAGTAAACATTTGATGTTTATCTAAAATCTTGTAAAATCTCGTTGATAATAACATTTGATAATTTTACTAGCATCAGTTTTTCTTGTAAAAAAAAAAAAAAAAAAAGCGTGATGATCTTTTCTGATGTTAGTGAAATTGATGCTAGTAAAATTATTTTTCCGCTTTTATTGGGAAAAAAAAAGTGGGTTCTTAATGCATAAACATTAATACCACCATCCGTTATTGTGTTTAAAGCTGTGTTTGTGCACAGCATTCCTCAGCTATGGAATTTTTTGATGCTTGAAATGTTTTATTAAAAACAGGAAGTGTGTGAAGTTTCATAGATGTCTCCTACTAAAGTTATGCTTTTCTCTTTACAGGATACAGAATTTCCAGGAGTAGTTGCAAGGCCTATTGGAGAATTCAGAAGCAATGCAGACTATCAATACCAATTATTACGCTGCAATGTAGATTTGCTAAAAATAATTCAACTAGGACTGACGTTTATGAATGAGCAAGGGGAATACCCTCCAGGAACTTCAACTTGGCAATTTAATTTTAAATTTAATTTAACGTGAGTCTTACCTCTCTATACTGTTGGATGTATGTTTCTGATTTAATGAAAATTTAGATTGTAAAAGTTAAAGCAAATATTTTTAATCTATTAATTGGAATCCTTTATGTGAGGGGGACTTGTGTTAACTAAACATACGTGCTTTATTCCTTCATTTCAGTGTAGTCTGTCTTGCAGAGATTTTGGTTCTGGATTCTTCTTGTTAATATGTTGTTAAAAAATGCAAGCTGTTTTGTTATGGTCTGTGTTTTGGCCTTCATTTCAGAACATATTTTGTATTAGTGGTAAGCCTTTAAGTATGAATGTGACTTACCCAGTGGGCTGAGATGCCTAAATAAGGTTCTGATTACATCTGGCAGTACTTGACAAGGTTACTAAAGCAGCTATGACCCCATCTTGACGTTTTCCATAAGTAGCCATAATTGGTCTGACAGGTTCTCATATGGCCTGATAAAAGTATTAGAGCAGGCACTTATCGAATTTAAATTTGTTGAAGGGTTGGGGATTTTTGGCAGTGTTTTGGGCTGATCATTGAAACACTCGACTGCATGAGTTAAAATTGCAGCCTACAAAGGAAGCCCAAAGAACAAGCCTTTGTGGGTTTTTTTTTTCCCCAGTTTATTTATATAATTAAAGTAATTGTGATTGTTATGAAGGAAAACTGCTGCTGTCCCTCTTAATCTTTCTACTTTTCTAAACAAGCAATGCTTGTCACAAAGAAGTTTAGTCTGAGGACTGACACTCTCTTTTAAAACTTTTAAAGTTTAAAAAGATTAAAGATGTTTGAAACATCACTTGAAAGAAAAGGAAGTGCAGATTTGATATTTTGGTATATCTAAACTTGGCTGTATGAGTGCTGCATGGAAGATATCTGTTAGAAGAACATGCTAAAGATGCTGAGTGCAGTAGAAAGAGGAAGAGGGATGAATTAATAACTTTCAAACTGGGAAGAAGAACCTCGGTTATGTTTTATTCAGTTTCTAAGGTCTGCTGTATATTCTGTATATCAAGCAGCTGAAAACAAAAGTAGTTTTCCATTCATTTGTTTCAGATGCTGCATAGATAAGAAGGCTTAGTAAAGTAGTATCTAGGGTGTCATTCAATGGACTTGTTGCTAGTTCATTGGGGGTGGGGAGATTTTATACAGAATGAAATAAGTGCTGCATGAAACGTGAACATTTTGAATAGGGATGCCAAAATGTGTGTTTGTGCGTGTGTGTTCCTAAACTTACTTTTTGGGAAGTGGCACTGTTCCAAGTGTTCTGCTTCTGAAGCAAAGCGACTGTTCACTTTTCCTAGAAGAAGGTTTGGGTTGGTTTTGTGTTTTGTTTTTTTTGTTTTGTTTTGTTATTCCAACCATTTCCTATCACTGTATATTTTTAAGGAGCATAATTGATTCTATAAACTAACTATCCACCTGATTAGTACAGAGGAACAAACTGGAATGAACTTTTATTTATTTTGAGCATGATAGGCATGTCTGTTTTGCATGGGTTCTTTAATGTGTTATGGAAATGGACAGGTGTTGGGAAGCTGATGCCTTAAAGTTGGAGAACTAATGAGCAGCTGTGTGGGAGAGAAGGAAAAAAAGATACAACATGTCCTGAGAATGTATTTCTCTCTTGATGAGTTATGACTTGCTATTAGGAATAAGAAATATAAGTCTGCAGCTGAACCTAGTAGTCCAGTTGGATCGTCGTATCAGTTTTATTTCTTGAGGTCTTTTCCCCCATGAAAATGGAAAACTATATGGTGAAGAGACTTTGTAAAACAATGTTATAGACAGTAATATAAATAATATCTAAGTAGAGCCAGCTTTGCATTTTTTTTTCCAATAACTGCTCTATATATTCCAATTATTTTGAAAATTATACTTCAGATGATACTTTTAAAGTTTTATCCACTTCGGTATTTTGTAACACAAAGCTCACAAAACTGAGGGTGGTAAATGGAACAAATGCAGAGATAAAAGGGATCAAGTAAGGCATACTGGATTTTTTTTTTTTTCCCTTCTTGTTAAACTGTAGGTTCAAAATCTGACTCTTAGAGAGAAGTCGATGATTTAGAACAGAATGGTAGACTGTCTGGATTTCAGGAGTTGACTTAATGGGGCAATGCTGAATTTCTAATTGTAATGAGGGGTTTTGATGAGCATGTATCTGAATATTCACGAGCAAGCTTAAATTATAGATAGCAAGAAGTGGATGGAAAGCACAGAACAAATACAGCACTGGAATTTGGTTATTGATATTAATTCTGTAATGTAGCAGGTGTCAGTGGTCCAACTGTTTTGTTACTGAACAGGATCGTTACCTTAAACTGTAATGTAACTATCCTTACATGTACTTTCTTCTGTAGAGTCTGCAAAAAGGGAGGAACAGGAAATAGACTTTTGTAAAGGAGACTGGAATGGAGGTGCTAGGAATCATGAACTACTAATGAAAGTTAACAAAAGCTATGAAAAGTGGTCATTTTAATAACAAACACGGAACAAATTCAAGTTGCTACTCCTATATTGCTAGTAATGTCTTTGTAACGAATAGGGGGGAAAAAGATTGCCTAATTTATAATCAGCGAGGTCTGTAGATTGTAAAAATGTTTTTCTCTCTGCTTTTAGAGAAGATATGTACGCACAGGACTCTATTGAACTGTTAACAACATCTGGTATCCAGTTTAAAAAGCACGAGGAAGAAGGAATTGAGACGCAATACTTTGCAGAACTGCTTATGACATCAGGAGTTGTACTATGTGAAGGAGTCAAGTGGCTTTCATTTCACAGGTGAATTTTGCATGTTAAGTAATTGAGTTGTCTGTTTTGATAATTGGGTTTTGTCTCATGTATTAAGCGGTGTACATCTGCTGGTGTGTAGTATGTATCTTGATTGGTAAGACTTAAAAAAAAACAAAACAAAACAAAAAAAAAAAAACTATTTCAGCTATCTATGGTGTTGTGTGTTAGAAAGGTAGAGTGTGTGGGATGCTAATGGCATAGATGATGGCTTTTTAACAGCAAAACTTTGAGCAAGCAATGCATGGAACTCCTAGACCAGCAGGTGGCATTGTGTCTCTAATATCACATGTGTACATAACAGTAGCAGTGGTTAAAAACAAGCTACTTGTAAGCAGATTTTGAGCAAATGCGGTTTATTTCATGGAAGATACCACAGAATTATTAGTAAAGATTTTTATGAAGCAGAGTTATATTTGTTGTAAATGTGCTAATATGAGCAGACAAAAATTCTTCAGCTTAGGAGAGGCCTAGTAGAAGTCTTAATTCTAGCAGCAGCAGTGAATATACTTTGCCATTCATTCCATCGCAGGAACGTTTTCCAAGTAGAAATAGAAATGAGAATCCCCAAAACTATGTGAATCCCTCAAGATATGAGGACAGGCTGAGAGAGCTGGAGCTCTGGAGAAAAGAAGGCTCTGGTAGGAGGGAGACGACAGCCTTATAGCGGCTTTCCAGTACCTGAAGGGGGCCTACGGGAAAGCTGGAAAAGAGCTTTTCAGAAAGGCATGTAGTGAGAGGACAAGGAGAAAGGGTTTTAAAGAGGGTAGATTTAGGCTAGATATTGGGAAGAAATTCTTCACTTTCAGGGTGGGGAGACACTGGAACACGTTGCCCAGTGGGGTTGTGGATGCCCGCTCCTTGGAAAGACTCAGAGCCAGGCTGGATGAGGCTCTGAGCAACTTGGTCTAGAAGGAAATAGAAGGATTGCCTATAGCAATGGGGTTGGAACTAGATGATCTTAAAGGTCCTTCCAACTCAAATCATTCTATGATTCTACGATATTCTGTTGACAAGACTTAAACCTTTAAAACTTAGGCATTAGTTATTGCACAGTCAGCTAAATGCCAGGGATAGCTTGGACTTTTTACAGGCAACTGTGAGTTTAGAAGCTTATTGCATGTAATGAGTGTAAGTTGACATCTTGAATGCTGTCTGCTAAGCAAGTCAATGAAAGTAGAATAAGCTTTTTAGCTGAATACTGGAGGTTTTTTTGCAGTCATATTCATGTTTATGATGTGCTACATTGTTGGGTGGTAGTATGTTTGTTGTCAAAACTGGGGGGGGGAACAGCAGGCCAAATTCCTTATCCTTAACTGTTAAGTATTAGTGGGGAGCTTGGAGGAGAGAAAGGTGGATGAAGTATTTAATCAGAAGTATTTAAGTCATTAAGCAACTGAAAACTAAGGCTTGCTTTGGCAAGGAATGTAAGATAGGAAACAAAAAATTGTACATAACAAGGAAAGTAATTGTACACTGTCCTTGGTGGGAAGAAAAATGAAGAATGAAACTATACAGATGTTTCATCTGAATACAAACTTAACTTAAATGAAGATACTGTCTCTTAATAGGGGCTTGGAAAGGCGTGTTGTTATGCATGACACCTAGCAAAGCTGTGGTGCTCTGCATGTGACTTAATGGCATTATGCTAAGATTCAGTAAAGTTCAAAAGATTTCCATAAATAATTATATATTTAAAAAAAAAAAAAAGCATTCCATGTGGGGTTGTTAAAAACTCAAATCTGGTTGTCTGAAATAATTAAACAATATTGCTTAGTAGAAACACTTTTCCAGTTAGACTTCCAAAAAAAAAAATCATCTGTAAGTATGCTTGTTGCCTAACCCCCTTACAGTGTCTTCCATTCAGGGCTTTATCTGTTTATGTTACATCTTCGTTCCTAAATAATCTTACTCTCTCTGTCTTGCAACTACAGCTGCAGCCTGGTGAAAAATAGTGGAATAAGAATGCCGTTAACTGTTTCAAAATGACCACAGATACTAAATGGGTGTTGAATTAAGTTCCTTAAACCCATTATTATGTGCAAATTTGTAATTGACAGCAACAGAATAACTTGGATAGTTCAGGAGAAGAACTGAGGTACATGAGGTACAGGCCTGCAACCTGTGTATCAAAAGGCATTGCCAAATAGAAGCAACTAAAGCTACAAAGTTTTCCTAGTGTTAACTTCAAGGATGCATTGTAACCTGTGCTAGCGAAAGAGTACAAAAGCCTCTTGTTCACTAGATACTCTTTTTAAAGTGTTGCTGTTTTTGATTGTGATTGTTGACTAACACTGTGCTGATGGTAGTATAAACTGCAATGATGGGGTGTTTAGCAGTTTGCCTCAGGTTTTTGGGATAGTTTTAATAATGTTCATTTGCTTTTGCTAAAAAGTGTATCTCTTGTGGACTTCACTGAAAATGTCTTTAGAAATCTTCTTCAGACATCCTCTTAATTCCCAAACGCTGAATGTCCACAACTCTGCTGAAAGTATTTAAAGGCTTTTGCATTTGACAGAGCATGTTGATGTTAAGCAGAAAACCTTAATGGGAGTAATGGGTGAAATTCTGAGGATGGTAAGATTTTGCTCAACTACGAAATGAATGTGGGTCATAAAACATGCTGCAAAGAATATTGAGCAGTTGTATTTTTGATTATGTTCTATTAACGTGAACTTAAAACAGTGTGAGAGCTCAGCTGAAGCTTTGTTTCATGTAGGCTCTCTATACATTAATTCTTAGAATAATGAAAGGTTTGTACTCAGTAGTTGCTGACTATGCTGTTGTTTCTGGTTTTTCAAAATGATTTGATTATTGCTAACACCCAAAATTTTTAAGTGTCTTTGCACAGTGACAGGGGAGGAAATACTTTTTTCTTAGAGTGAGAGGTTACCTGTTTTGGTTTTATTTTGCGTTCTTCAATTTTCTGGAACTCTTATATAACTTTTTTCTAGGATAGTAGCTTCTGAAATAGCTTTCTCTGCCTGCTTTCTATGTGTGTTTGATTTGCATTTGTCTTGGCATCCTGACCTACTGGCAAACTTGTGCAGATCTGCAGTTTTGTTAGACATGACTGAAGAAAGTTTTTCTGTCACCAGTTTTCACATACAGTAGCTTCACAGGAGACCACATTAAATGTTTAGTGTATTAAAATTTATTTGAGTTGATGAGAGAAGAAAGGAAGGCCCTGAATTCATAATTCTTGTCAGAGTCAAGAGTGTTGTGGATATTTAGCAATCTAGCCAGTTTGTAAAACAACAGCTCACATTCTGTTTTTGGGTGTTTGGCTTGCTGATACAGTGAAGCCTATGTGCAGTCTTCTTGGTACTCCTTGGGAGGTACTGTGGATATGTCTCTTAGGCTTAAATGTTTATTTTGAGAAGGTGGGAAGTTCCTAGCCATTGCATTTCATTAATAATTTATGTCTGACAGATTTTAGTAAAATTTAGAAAATCTGTTGGCTCACTTCTGTGTGAATATAGGTAGTTTTATGATGGAGTAAAGCTTTTTTTTTTTTTTTTTTTTCAGCCCTATCAGGTATTATTTATTTCAGAGCCTGTTGGTGTTTGGGTAAAGTTCATTGTTAATTGTTGATCTGATTTCTTTTTTTTTTTTTTCTTCCGGTAATGAGTGAAAGAAATGTGGTCACATTTGATCTTCTCTTGGTAGTCTTGTTGCCTACAGCTGTCCATGTTGATTGAAAAACAGTGGTGGTAAGAGTGCTTATGGTGCTGTATAGCTCCAGGCATTGCGGTTAGCTGCACTTACCAACTTTAAGTGATTGTATTAGGAACAGTAAAAGCTTTTTAAGAAAGGAAGCTTCCCTGCTCCGGGGTATAAACCACTAATTGCCTGTTATAGTATTAGAAGAAAACTTCACTAATGAGCAAGTAATTGAATAATTGCTCACTGTGAGCCTTCTTCCCCTTTTGTTAGTCAGCAGTGGCCACTTGAAAATGTTTGAAATGAATATATTTTAGCCTTGAATTAGAATGGTAGTTCTTACCTCATTGTAAGTACGGATGAGGAGAGCATATCAAACCCCAGAAGTATACAGACAAATGAATGCCTCAGTACTGCATTGTGATCAGTAATGTGTGGTTTTCTGACTGTTGTTATGAGCACAACAGGAGTAAGTGTGAGCACCTGGGAATTTCAGAAATGTAAGAGAGAACTTGATTGAGCTAAAACTAACTTGTGCTTAGGATCCATGAAAAGATATCTAACGAATGCTGCCATGTAATGGAAGGGCAATTCAGTTAAATAAGTTCACCATTCACTTATCGTGTTCAATTTTCTGTGTGAGGATTCCCAAATGAACGTATTTACAACAGTGTCTGGCGAACAAAAATTCTTACCATAATTGCAAAGTTGTTTTAGATTGCTCGTTCTCAATACAAATACTAAATGAATCCTTTCTTCTTGTACTATTTCCTTCTTATAAAAATTGAAAATGTTTTCTAGCAGTCCAGTAATATAATTTGTTTAAAGAAAGGTGAGCACAAGTATTGGTTTTTTTTTTCCTTGGGAAAATTTTTGATGCAGCTGTTATATTTGAGTCACAAAAAAAAAAAAACAGATATCAGGAACTCACTGAGTTTATAAATAAGTTCTGTAGTCTCTAGAGGATTAAGAGTCTACTTAATCCTGAGCAGTTTTGTTAGTTTTTTCCCTGATGGGGCTTTTTTTTCTTCCCACTTTGTTCCATGGAGGACTACCCTTCTGTGTAGGTGCTTCCAAGCTTTTGTTTTGATAGTATGCAACAGGTTTTTACATCCTAAGAGTGCACTGAAAACCTTTATCTTTGGCTCCTTTGCTCCCTGGCCGGTGGCTGCTGCTGTGGAACTTGGTCTGCTGCCAGCACAGCTTCAAAGCAGCAGTTGCAGCACAGGATTCATTCAGCTTGAAATTCCTGTTTAGCATACTGGAAACTCCCTTAGGAGAGCTGCACTAGTCTATACCATCTGCGTATCTTGTATTAATGGGCTTCTAGTAAACAATACATTCACTCCTTGTGTGTTCAAGACTTTCTGCTCCCTGCCTAGAAATTTGTAAGATCAAGGTGATGTAGAGATCTTAGTCATATACAAAAGGTACAAAAAGCAAACCTTTTTACATGTAAGCTAAAGCTTTAAGCCTTCATCAGCAGTCACCATTCTAAGTGGATGTAGTACAGTACAGGATCAGTAGTACAGCACTCTTATCTGATTTGTGTGTAGAATCACTATAGACTATATAGAATAGAATCACTAAGACTGGAAAAGATCTCATAAGATCATCTAGTCCAAATGTCCACTTACCACCAGTATCCAACCAAAACCTCCCCTCGTGCAACTTGAGGCTGTTCCCTCTCATCCTATCACTAGATACCTGGGAGAAGAAGCTGACTCTAGCTCTAGCTCTCTAGCTGTGACTTCCTTTCAGGTAGTTGTAAACAGTAACTATTATAATTAATTGTATTGTCATGTATCGCTCACCTCATAGCTAATGCTGAAAGACCCCAGTCAAGAATTTGGACCATGTTGCAAAATTCTCTTAGGGTACCATGGTCGTGCAACCGTGGTGGAAATTGAGAATTCACGTCTGGGTGGCCATTCATTCACTTGAATTAGACTGTGAATGTGCTGCGAATGCTCTTAAACAGCATAAGCACAGCCTTCAGTTGAGCAGTCCTGCTGGTACAGTCATTTTTCAAGTTGCATACCAGCTGCTGAGGTTTAACCCAGCAGGCAGCTCAGCACCACACACAGCCTTTCACTTGTTTCCTCCCCCCCAATGGGATGAGGGACAGAATTGCAGGAAAAAGAAAAACAGTGAAATACCAACAAAGTAGACCTTGTGGGTTGAGATAAAAACTGTTGTCTAAGACAGAAAGGGAAGAGAGAAGTAACATAAATCTTAGTTATATACACACACACAAGACAAGTGATGCATGATGCAGTTGCTCACTGCCCACTGATAAATACTTAGCCAGTCCCCAGGCAGCAGCTGCCCCCTGACCAACTCCCCTCACTTTAATGGTTTTCGCATGATGTCATATGGTATGGAGAATCCCTTTGGCTAGTTTAGGTCAGCTGTCCCTGGTTCTGTCCCCTCCCAGCTCCTTGTGTCCCCTCAGTCCCTCTTGCTGGCAGGACTGTGCAAGAGCTGAGAAACTGAAATATCCTTGACTATGTTGGAAATATCCAAATAATTTTACCAGGCTGGTAACTCTTGATAGAAGCACATTTTATTTGTGATTGCGATGGTGGGTGTCCCACAAGCAGGAGCACCTATGGACACAATAGTAGAGCTTTTGTACCTTGTCTCCCCCGTACCCCCTCACTCCCCTTTCTCCCAATGGTTGGGTACTCCAGGTTCACAATCTTACCAAAGATTTACATTTGTTAATTACGTTCTGACACTTGCTGATTCATGCTCTATCTTGTCAGTCAGTCAATCATCCTGCTGCTTCCAAGATGTCTCACTGAGCATGCATTCCTGGGGAAGGTTTATCTAGAGGACAAGTGATGTATCAGAGACTCCCTGAAAAGAACTATGGCAGCGGAGACTATTAAATAAAAGTTCTTATCTTGTTCTAATGCAGAAACATTTGATTCCCACAGCACCGCTCAGCAGCAACTGAAACATCGGTGTGTAATCAGTGTGGCTTTTCTCCTAAAGTTGCAACATAGCATCATACCAGATGCTATGAAGAAAATCAACTCTGTCCCACCTGAACCCAGGACACCAACAAAGTCTATGAACCTATTTAATTCAGAGCTGACCTAATAACATGGAAGATAATGTGTCAGTCTCCTGACTGGTTCAGTGCATAATACTGCAATCCTGCAAGTACAAGGGATTAGGAAGGATCAGATTTATGATCAGATCGTGAATAATCTGATTTATTACCTCCATCTTCCTAAGAAAAAGGATAAGTAGTTATCAGGCCTGCTTACTGTGTACTTTAAACCCTCTGCTTCATCTTATAACCCTTTGTAAAAGTAGTCTATTTCATGCTTTCTGTTTTTACTGCCACACCCCCTTCCTATGTCCTCTTTCTTCAGTAAAGGATTATGGAGAGGAGGTCTTCCCAACCTCTTCTCCACCATGCGCGCTCTGTAAGACCTCAGTTTTTCTTACCTAGCCTTGTATGTACATAACAAATTTTTCCAACTTGTTCTGTCATTGCCTTCCAAATGAGTCATAGTCTGCAAGCTACTGAAAGTTGTTAGCTGTCTAACTTTGTGCTGATTTAATTGGGAAAGCTGAATGGTTGCCTGCTCTTCTTCACTGCCGAGGAGTAAACTTACCTCCAGGTGTAAAGATGTGTTGACTCGTGAAAGCTTGTCCTTCCTTTGGATTATGAAGTAGAAGCCTCTTCCTCTGTTTCAGTACTAGGAATCAGCTAGGAGTCTTTCTGTTTAAGTTCTTGTTATCAGATCCTCTATCGGATCTGCAAGCAGATCATGTTTTTGCTTCATGTGGTCACTTGAGAATAAATTGTTTTCTCTGGAAGCTGCAGTTCGGACCATTTACACTAATTCTTACTCTGTTGTAAGAGTCAAAGTTGCATTGAACTAGACAAAATACCTTCTTGTTAATGTTTAATACTGTTGATGTTAGAAGTGAAGAATGTTTCTAAGTTACTTGACTGTATTGTCAATTTTTGTTATATTTGTTAATTTGCAGTGGATATGACTTTGGTTATCTAATAAAAATCCTGACCAACTCTAATTTACCGGAAGAAGAGCTGGACTTCTTTGAGATACTGCGATTGTTTTTCCCTGTCATCTATGATGTGAAGTATCTCATGAAGAGTTGCAAAAATCTGAAGGTAAGTAATCTGTTAATGATTCAGTCCAGGCATTTTTGGGGGGCGAATGGGAGGAGAATACTTTCTGCTGAGAGCTTATCTTTTGTATTCTGGTTTTCTGCTTTTGCTCTGATAATATCCTTTAAACAGGACTGTTCTCAAACTTGGTGTGTTTATTGCTAAAGTCTATTGATAGAGGCAGGCGGAAATGCATGTCAACTTTTATAACTACTTACTAGTTTAAAAATGTATGTATACAACTGTACTTGCTAAAGAACTTTAAGATTCTGGACTGCTACGGGAATGAAGTGCACCACTCATCTGAGGAAATAAATGACTGTTGCTTTTATGGAAAGTAAATTGATTTTTTTTTTAGGCTTTCTTAAAAAAGAACATGAATAAAAAAAGAGAGCACAAACTGTAGTACAACTAAATCCTAAGTCTTTTCACTTTGTCATGATGAACTAGTGGTCTGCATGGGGTTAATTGTCCTTTGTTTCCTTGAGGTGTTTAGTGCATCACTTAAATAGTAGCTTACAAAGATGTGTAACTTCTTTTGTTAACCAAATTGATGATGAAAATTGAGATCTCCCTTTTAGTTATTAAGAAAAGTCTTCATCCAGTTTTTGGGATAATCAGTTGCGCAGCTGGCTGGATATTAGAGAACACTTTAGATGTGTTTTTTTCTTCACAGAAACTAGAAGGGAAACAAAAACAAGCTTCAGAAGTCTCTTAAGAGTTAGGGGCAGCAAGCCTAACACCAACAAAAGAAAATAACCTTCTCACTTAACGGTGAAGTAAAACGTCTCTTATCTTTGTGGTGGTGATACACTTACCAAGAACAGTATGTATCATCTACTTCGGTGACCTGGGAAAGGCAGTGAAGTGACATTCCATATCCCTGTTCCAGGTGTTCCAGGCTGTTCACGTATTCCAAGTGGTTTTGGGCAGGAGGGAATTACGTTCCTTGTCATTTACTGGAGACAGTTGTGTGTAACCTGCACTGTTTAGAGATTCAAATGTATTTTGGAAGATAAGAAAATCCTTCATGAGTCTTCTTTCAGCAAAACTTAAGAACAAGGGTGTCTTTTCCAGAGTTTAGTATGTAGGTCAGCTTTCCTGCGGCAAATCTTGTTCCTTTCTTCTAACCTGCAGACTGGTAAGAGCAGGAGGGGATGTGGGCTATTCTACCACTCTAAATAACAGCGATGACATTATTGTGGACTTGTACTGTACTGAGAGCAGCAGTCTGAAAAAGTTGCTAAATGTTGCATATTGTGACTCTAAAATTGCATGCACTTTCTCCTGACATATTTGATGTCTATTAAATGGTAGAGAATTGAATTGCTGTGCAATTGTCCTTTATTGACTTGTGTTAGTTATTTTCATACAAAAAACACTGATTTACTGTAAGCTTCCCACCTATCTTTGCTCTCACACAACCAAAAATGAATTTCTAGCACTGATAAGACAAATATATGTTTGAGGATGTAGAAGCTGTTTACTGCTCTTGTAATGAATTTGCAGTATGCTGCTCTAATAAAAATGAATGTTATTAGTGTACTAAGCATGCAGACTGTGACTAATTTGAGGTATTTGTGTAGTATAGGTTAAATTCCTGCTTGGCCTATAAAAATCTTCATGTAGACAACTCCATGCATTTTTGCAGTGATAGCAACTCTAAAGTAGATTTATAGCCTTTGCTTTCATTTTCTTCTGAATCCCTTTCTACTGTCTTTCTCCCCCACAAGTTAAATATTCTTGTCTGGAGCACGAAGGTCTTTCCTGAAAGAAAACTTCAGTAGCCTAATAATCTTTGGAGGCGATTGTAATGAAATATTTACAAATATATCTATTAGTAACTATATATATTGGAAGGATTATTTTCAAAGCGTTCTTTGCTTTGCTCCTGTTTCTGTAGATTTTGCTACATTTCAGAGCTTGCAGCCACTGTGTAAATAGTACTGATTTGTGATTAGTGAGTGTTTTTGTCTTAAAAGCTGTTTGAAGCTGGTGCAGATAGCCTAACAGCTAGCACTGCATAATGATGAGGCAATGCTAAGTTGCAGCTTGGGAAAGTCAAGAATTTAGAAACAGCAAATAATACCTTGGAAAGGCAACTGCTGTTGCTAATACCAGCAGCTAGTTATTGGGAGTTAGACTATAGAGAACACTGATTTGAGATCTGCCCATCATCCCTGAACGTCCTTAAGGGTATAACTTAAACAACTGAATTGGTGTATATGCACTGTTTGAATGTTGTCTCCAAGCAAATGAAGAAAACAAGCTTCAGTGCTTGACTGTACTATATACAGACTAATTCTCAAATTTATTCAAACAATACTCAACTGTTCAAGCTGGAATAAAGTTAGACATGCCAGTACCAGTGGTTCACGTTGGTTTGCTTGGTGTTACTTGGGAATGTTATTACTTGAGCTTTCATTTTTAAAATAAAATGTGCTGTGTTAAGATTCATAGAAATTTTCATAACGTTAGGTCTGGCCTCTTGGTCAGATTTCTATTACTGTATCACTTCTAACATTATTACACTTTTATTGCTTCCCTGCCCATGATTGAAACTTGCTGAAGGTGTTGAGGACACAGGTGACCTCAGATACTAGGCAGTCTTGATTTAAGATCATTTCCTCTGTGTGATGTTTACACCTTTCAAAGGCTTATAGTTTCACTAAAGGTTTCTCCTTGGTGTTTGATCTCTCTAGACTATAAAGCATGAGCCACATGTTTTAGTCCATTTCTAGTGGTTTCAGCACTTAATGATTTTTAAGAAGTATGAAATTATATTCCCCCAGTTTGCAAAGATCACAGTTAAAGTATAATGCAGATCACTTGAAGGATAGACATATATATATGTAAAACCAAACTAAATTTCTGACTGTTTGCTTCTGCAAATGGTAATTATCATTTTTGAGCCACTAAAATGAAAAGTTACTTTAGTTGTTCTACAACTTGGAAGATTTTCAACCTATCTAAGCTTAATAGAAAATAAAGGAGCAGGTAGGTTTGCAGTGATTTCTGTACCTTTTCAGTATGTTCTTTTAAACCACGCGTCAGTATTCAGATATTGAGTTTTAAATTGCTCCTTTTTGCATGTGGGATGCTTATCCTCTCTTTTGTAAGAGGTAGATTTCATTCAATGTGGTGTTATTGAATATACGTGTCTGAGAGGAAGTTGACTATGTCTTTGGCTTTCATCATGTTAAAAAACAACTTGCAGAACAGAAATTCATCATTTGTATGTTCTTTTTTCCTGTCCTCTTTTGGCAGTTAATGGAACAAATTTTAAAGACAACTAGAATGTCTTGTACAGATGGACTGTGTACTCGGGTTTTTGTTGTTGTTGTTTTGTATTTCCTGTAGCTTTCTAGATATTTAAGGATATTCCTAGTTTTTGTAAAGTGAAGTGAAAAACCCTCAACTGAACTGTTGAAGGGTAAGTGGAAGAGAAAACAAGTCTTTTTCAGAGGAAGCCTACATACATTAACTAAGCACCAATTTGTAAGCACTTGAATTCTTGTATTTGCAGTAAGACATTTTTACAGTTTAAACTTTCATTCAAATAGAAGGGTTACAGGAACACCTTGATTTGTTCTTCAGCATCGCCAGTCCTTTCAGCCTCTTGAAGGGATTGTTTTGTTAAGTAGCAACATCTGTTCTTGGGGGAAGGACGGAACATGAGGCAATAGGAGTTTTGTTGGACACAGACACAGCTTGATTTAAGCTCTTCTGAGATGGAAGTGAATACAACTGTTGATACAGAAAGCTTGATCTTCCAACATAGAGACTCTTCAAGCTTCTGTGCAAGTGTTTAAAATATACTGAAGTTAAAAGTTGGTATAACAAGTTTTTCCCAAATACTGATGTTCGGTTTTGTTTTTTTTTTTTTCAGCAGTTAACAAATGTTTTCATTTTCAGGGTGGATTGCAAGAAGTGGCTGAGCAGTTAGAGCTGGAAAGGATAGGACCACAACATCAGGCAGGATCTGATTCTTTACTCACAGGAATGGCCTTTTTCAAAATGAGAGAAGTAGGTGCACGTGTCTTGGTTTTGTCTCCGTAGTCGTAACTTGCTATAATAGATGGAATTGCTGATTCTGATGTCCGTTGTATTTTAAGGGGTTTCAGAGGTCACTGCTTTCTTGACAGATATATACAGTAAGACTGTATTTTCCCCACACTAAGTGTGAACCAGCCCTACTGTTTCCCTATTTAGCTACTGTGAACGTCGCTTCTTGTTCTCATTGTATGCCTGGCTTTTCCTTCTTTTCTTTCCATTGCCTATTTTGCAGTATTTCTTTGGCAAAGTGGCTGCTAGAGCCAGACTCTTTACTGGGTGACTGTATTCAGGCTGCTCTTCTGCAGAGCTTCTGCTGAGCTGTAATACCCAGCTGGTGTGCACTGCTGCCTGTGACAGGCCTAGCAGCAGGGAATGAGCAGCTCTGCCTGCGCTAGCTGCTTCCAGCTAAAACTTGGAGGGTACAATGTTCTAAAACATAACATATCAATCAATTAAAATTTTGAAGGGAAATCAAGAAGCTTTTTATGTCCTTGCTATTTGTATATGCAGATACAATGGAAGAATACTAGGATATTTTTCATGAGTGGAATAAACAAATTCTAAATGGGCTTCTTGAAAGCAGTTACACTGGACAAATGCTAGGGCATCTGAATGTGACATTCTGATGGGAATTTGGTGTCATTTCATAATGGCAATAGCAAGCCTCATCTTTTTATAAGGTTTAGTATTGCATGCTGAGGCTTCTGCTTTCTGTAACATGGCCTTTTGTATATAGGAAAATAAGCTGACCATGAGTTTCTAACAACCGCTAGTGAGACAGCAGTTGAAATATAAGTGCTGTGGTGTGCTCTGGCTTGCTCATCGCAACACTGTTCTCCTCTCCTGAAACTGTGGATGTTGTTGAGCTGGTCACGGGCTACAGCTGCAGCAGAGGATGTTGCTTCTGATATGATCCACCTGTGATCCACACAGGTGCTGTTAACTGCAATCTGCATGCTATTGTTTATCTGTTGCTCTTGTATTTGAAACAAAATCTAAAGCAAATAAAGGATTGTACCTAAGGTACTGACTTTCAAAACCCATGGTGCCATGTAACAAATTGCATATTATTGAAGAAACAAATTATCTGCCTGAATTTGTCTAAGGTCTTACTCAGAGAAGTGTAGCTTTTAGTGCAAATCACTTGTTTAAATAAATCAACAAAGACTGATTATTTTTTCAGTGTTTCTTTTAAAATACAACATTTTGAAGTAAAAACTAGTCAACAGTAGTAAATATACTTAGTGTGCACTTCTAAAACCTTTTCAGTTGTTCACTGTTTAGCAATATATGTTAGAGTGAAAAACTTTGTTTCACAATGTTTTTAAAGATACAAAACGGTGTTGTTAATGTTAATAATTGCTTTTAGAACTTCAACTTGCTGGCTCTTCAAGTCCCAGCCAAAAAATTCAGATCTTTTTCTTTCCATCAGAAATATATAAATATGATGCTGGTATAAACATATATATATAGAAAAATATATAAATATATGATGCTGGAACAGCAAGCTGTGGTTTAGAGGTTTTCTTCTCTGTTTATAATTCGTATAGTACAGCACCTGAAAGGTTCTATTGATAATTTAGACTATGAAGTCTTACGTAAATGCAGTCTTAGTTTAAAAAAAAGAAAAAAAAGAAAAAAAAAAAGTTTCTTCTAATTTTGCTTTTTTTTTTTTAAATGAAGCCCTCCTCTTAGAGGAGGTAGCTGAGAAATGCAGGAAGATAGATTTCCTAAACTCCATAATTCCTGTGCTCAAACATGTACCTCCTCATTCTCGCCTCACAGTCATGTAGTGTAAATCCATTTCAAGACAAGGTATGATGGAACCCTCCCCAGTGATAAGCAGATAGACTGTGGGCACTTGCAGTGAATACCAAACATATATCTGTTGTGAGAAAGCAAAAAGAAATCTGCTGGAGAGATATTTTGTTGCACTTTCAGAAAAGCAAGTGGTATCTGAGGTGACACCAAACTACCAAAACATGCAGTCATTTTGTCATGTGAGGTGCACAGAGTGACTGATGGTATTCCTTGACTGATTTACTTTAAAGAACTGCAATATATAGCGTGTTTTGATCTTAGGTTGCGATTAAATGTATTTTTAGGCTATTTGAATTTTATGCTATTTTTATGTCATTTGAATCTAGGGATGTGATATGCAATGCTAAAACCAACAGTAATGCTTTTAAACTTTTCTGTCATTCTGTTTAAACTGGGTGTTTTTGGTGACATTAATTTGTGTCTTTCTTTTAACACTTCAGATGTTCTTTGAAGATCACATTGACGATGCCAAATATTGTGGCCACTTGTATGGCCTTGGTTCGGGGTCATCTTATGTACAAAATGGCACAGGAAATGCTTATGAAGAAGAAGCCAACAAACAGTCATGACACGAAATGAAAGGCCATCTTTTTGAGCTCCACATGCTTGTACATATGTTTTATCTCTGGTTGAACCCCTTGGACAATAAGGCTTTTTTCCCCCCTTTCTCAGCACACTTTCTTTTCTGCCTTTCTATGTACTAAACCTGACTGTTCCTATCACAGATTTTGATCTTAATGTTGATATATAGAATTTTATGGGTTACTTTTGGAGTCATAACTAGCCCATTTGTAAAGAAGCATGTGTAGGATCAGTGTGGCAGAGAGAAGGGGAAAGCTAAATCATAATGAATAGTATGGTAAACTTACCTGTATTGGTCTTTGGTCTTAGGTTTTTTGTCTCTTTCCCCTCCCTTCTCCAAATTAACTCATGCTGATTCTAACTAACTTCCCATTCATGTCTGTTCCTTCCAGTATGCAGGCGTTTTAGCTATTCAAGATTGTGGACCATCAAATTTGCACTTTAGAGAGCAACTCTGACTCAATCCTCTGTTTCATTTGAAGTTTTTTTTTCTTCTGCCCTTAGTTAGGAAACAATAATCTTCCAAGTTCAGCAACTTCACACTGTATTTTTGGCATCTTTTGGTATTTCAACCCATAGAATATGACATTTGCTGCATAACCTGCGTTCATTCAAGCAAAACAAACTACTGAAACCATAGTAACTGCTGTTGTTTTACTAATGTTCTGCCATCAGACACATCCTGCACGTGCCAACTGCTGGTTGGCCTGCTGCTTTAGATCCGCTCTGTGAGGAGGGAAAGAAGCTTGAGAAAACAGCTTTATACCCTTCAGGAAAAGAACAGCTCTGACTTTACCATCTTGCCATTAAGCTGAGATTTGAAGGCTATTGGAATAGTAGGAATTTTGTAATGGCGCACTTCCCTTGATTAACTTTTATTCTAGTGATGTATACTCCAAATATTTTTTTATGAAGTCATATTTATTATGTACTTGGTTTGACAATTTTTGGAAGTCAGTTTAGTTCAAGATAGAACCCAAAGATCTGAAAAAAAAAAAAAATACTATTTAAGTGTATTACTGAATCAGGACAACTAAATCGTGCTTTTTTGTAGTTGCTACAAAGACAGATGTTACAGTATTTGTTGTAAAACAACAAAATATAAATAACTCAGAACAAATAAAGTTACCTGAGGATTGTAATGCTAGTTTATTTTTGAGTATATCTTAGCAATATATTTTAGATATATTGTTTTAAAGGACCCTAAAATATGTTCTTATCTCTGCTTACCGTGTGTACAGAGCAGTTGTGCAGGAGGCATTTTTGGTATTGAATAGCTAAATCCAAGCCTGAGATGATGGAAAGTGTGACATTGTGTGCCTGGGTGTGCGTGCGCGCGTAGGGGTGTGCGTGTTCTGCACGGAAATCAATCACAGAAAAACTCCGAATGTTCGCCAATTATTCTGTTTACCTTGTACTGCAAAGACAAATAACAAACAGCACCAAACACCTTTTTCATTGAGTTACGACAATGTAACTGGGTGGTCCTTTTTAAACAACAAATAATTTGCGTAACAGAGGGTATTTGTTTTTAAAGCTTTTGTAAATAAAGGCCTAAAAAAATGTTTTCTTACATAACAAGAGACTGGTGATTTTGTTGAAGTTGTTTTTTTTCCTCCTGCAATGTGCGTATTACAGTCAATAATGCTGTTTTGTTTGAACAGATGGTTGTCTTCCTCTGTTTGTGAAATGATACAGTTCACTGCTTGTTGATTGATGCTTTATCCAGAGCAGAGTTCTCTTTGCACTAATTCCCACTGACCTGCATTGCTAGAGAGGTAACTACAGCTTCATCCTGAAGTGACCAAACCCCACTGATGATTTCTGTTGGTACCATTATGCAGTAGGTAAGGGAGAGTTATTTTAACTTTGTTTCTTCTTTGGCTTTAACAAGAAGATGGGTGCTGTCTGACAGAAGGGCACAATGCATTCTTACTATGGCATCAAATTGCCTTTTAATATTTAGGTTCAACTGAAAGTTTTGTGAAATCAATACATTTGTTTTCAGCTTCAATAGCTGTAGAGGTAAAAATAATTAACTTTTGGAGGGAATGACTTTTCTAACTTTTCTTTGGGATTTTGTTTTGAAATAATTTTTTAGGTGTAGGTGAAGGGATGTTTTTAGAGGTTTGTGAAGGTGTGTGTGTGGTAAGAGCTCTAGATCAGAATGGGATATGCTTTTCAAGTGACAGTTGTGCATCCTGCATGCCACTCTGTGCTTTGCTTTGCTTCCAGTCATGGGCATGGCAGAGCTGAGACTCCTTTTGCTGGAAGAACCTAAACCCAAGGATAAGCAGCAGGTGTGCACTGGATGTCCCAGCTGCAAAGGACCTGCAAAGCCTGCAGGATCAGGCTGTTTTTATAAGCTCTAACCTAAAAATCTCATGGGACATTTGACTTTAAGCAATTGTGTTCTTTAGTTTTTTTCCTGAGGCAGGAAAACAAAACAAAACAAAAAAGCCCTTAAAAGACAGTGATTAATATTAAACTAAGATTATGCTTTGTTCTGCGTGTGAACTCTTTGTCTGATCAGATGTGATCCAGGGTGATGAGAGTTGGTTACAGCTGGGAGGCATCTATGCAGCACTGTTTCTGTGCCAAAATTAGATTTAGTTTCCATTAAGGAGTGACTTGCATGGTAAGTTGTCAAGATTATGAAAAAAAACAAATTGTCTCCTGTTATGCATAGGACTGTTACTTGTAAACTGTGGAGCCTGAAATATCAATCTGTTTCCAAAATGGACAGAATTAATTGCTTTTGTGAAAATAAATGTAAAGGCAGATTTCCAGCTGTCTAGACATGTACATTTTTGTTCAGAGACAGGAATTCTCCTTGCAGGCTTCTCCTCTTCCCAATCCATTTAAAATCTATTGTTGGAGGTTTGTCAGAAGAAATGCAGTATCAAAAGCTGTTGTCTGATTTGACTTTTTTTTTCCTCACTTGTATTTTTGGCTCTTGGAGTCAGATGTTCCAAGAACATTATGTTCTGTCACTTTTTTTTTTTTTTTTTTTTTTTTTTTTTTAAGCATTTAATCCCTTTCCTTATTGAAACTAGGCAAGAAGAATTTTTGATATGGGAGAAAACAGGTCTGAAATTGATTTTGAGTGTTTGGTACATTTTTCTGTTATGAATTTGGGGATGACCTGTACCTTTGACATCAAAAAATTTTCCTCAATCTGGTTACTTCAAGCTCAAGAATGGTTCATTCAAGCCAAGTAAAAGTTGCAGGAAGCATGCAGTGGTGAACATGGAGCTTCTGACTGAACTGAGTACCGATTGTGGAAGCAGGGACAGATCACTCAGGAGTGATGCAGACACTAACTGTACAGTTAAGAAAGGCTAAGAAAGCAACAAACAAGCCTGAATGTTATCACTGTAGTGTAAGGGTAGTTTCCTGGGGCGAAGCAGAGAACAGATGCCTTCAAAAGAGGACCTGTGGTACTGCAGACCTCTTGGTGTCACCTTGGTCCCTGGGAACGTTATGGAGCAGCTAATCCTAGAAACCATTTCCAAACATGGAGAATAAGAAGACGATTAGAAGCCTGGATTTATGAAGGTGAGATAGCTTCTGACTGAGCTCACAGCTCACAGCAGGTATGTTTAGACAACATTGTCACAGGTCTCTCCTAGTGTTAACTTACGTGAGATCTGGTGGTATTAGAATATATCTAACTAGACCAACCTGGTTCCTGAATTAGTAGATGAGGCATGAGTAGGAGAGTCCTGCAGCCATGAGGTACGTTTGCTGCTTGTTGGTCACCCAGAGGACATGCCACACCACGCAGTGAAGATGTAATGGTTACTTCATTTTTTAGTTTATGGACTGGAAGACGTAACTGGTGTAGATGCACAGTTTTCTGTAAGGTCTGTGCTTTCCGCGTGCTCTTGCAATGTTGTGTTTGGTTGCAATAAGAGGTAACTGGTTCTGTGTGTGACAGTGGGGCATCATGAACTCTTGGAGCTTATGGGTGCAGTGTGCCTGGGAGTCAGTTATTGTTTATCTGGTTTTATTTAACTTCAAATTACTATATCAAAGATAACTAGTACTGCTTTCAGTGGGGGAGCCTGAACAGTTGCAGAGAGCAGAGCGGATCTGAGCAAGATGTTGAGAGGGCTCTGGTCACAGTGGGATAAGCTGATTGCTAACAAGTACGCTTCATGTATAGCTCTACATAAACACAGTTAAGACACTTCTGCAGTGTTATAGGTTGTGTTTCCATTAATTAAACAGCACCGATGGTATTAATTTTCATGCTAGGGGAATCACCTTAAACACTGATGTAAATAGCAGTGTACTTCAGAATGGAAGTTATAGAATCAAACCTATCTATCTTTTGAGAGGAAGGTAAGATTTTATGTTTTCATTTTATAGTGCTAAGTAGAGTTTCCTAGGTTCTAAGCATTAGTGAAGAAATCTTGCTTTTAATAATGTTGGCTGAATGTTCTTGAGTGGTAGTTGCTGTTCAGCTATATGAAATACTTTTGCTTCCTTTTTTTGTGGTCACTTTAAAAAAAAAAATTGATGAAAGGCTGATTAAATCAGCTTGATGAGTATGTTGGAGTCTAATGTTCTCTCACAGGGTTCCTTTAGGTATTCCACATGAGAACTTATTGTTTCAATACTAAGCTTATTTGAAGGTGTTTGATATTGTCTGGGAATTTTTATTTAGAAAAGTGATGAAGCAATGTGCTGAAATCACAACAGAACCACAGCATAGCAGTTATAGTACACAGCTGAACCTCCTTCTCATTACTGGTTTCCGTGTGCTTACCATTGTGAAGTGGCATGTTGGTTTTTTTTTTTTTTTTTTTTTTTTCCTTTGCATTGGACTGAGCTGCATTGACAGAATGAAAATGGAGCTTTATAAGCCCTGGTGTTGGTGATTTTATTTATTTTCAGTATGCTACACAAAACTAATGTGCTATTCAAAGGAAGAGGGGGAAGAAAGGCAACAACCTTGAGGCCTGCATAAGATCCCAAGGGTATATCACTTCTTGTTTTGCCAATGTGCTTTTTAGCTGTTCTTTTTCCATTTTGCAAGTGTCATTTTTACTTGAGAAAAGTGCATTTCCAGATCTTCTGTTTTTGAACTTCCACCTGGTTTCTTAACTTGTCTAAGCTAGTTGAACACACTGAAAGGAAGAAAATAATTCCATAGTCAATCATTTTTAAGAACTTCTCAATGAACACCAGCTGTTTAACATTGCTCTTAATGTTAATTGTGAGTTCAGTGGAGTTAAAGGAATTGTGAAGTTAATATTTTACACGTGAATAAATTAAATAGAGCTCTCAAGCTCTGTGATAAGTCAGTGATGCAAAGGGAGCCAAAAGCATCCAATAAAGATCCAATACAATTTATGAGATATATCGTTTGTAGAATTAGAACAAAATCTCACCAATAATACAACCTTTTCTTTATGTAGAGTAAAATGCAAATTGTCTTGGATACTTCCCCAGTCATAACATGAAGTTGTTTTTCTGGTATTCCTCAACCTGAACGTACCTTGGCTGGTTTGCAGGAGCTTATTTAGGTGTTTTCTTCCCTCTTGCTTTAGTAGGTGTGGTAGAGAAATGAGGAGGATTCTCCTCCATTGTTCTAATTTGCTTTCTAATGCCAAATGTAAAAAATTTGATTTTGGCAGAGGCTTCTCTTGTTCTTTTCCTGCCAACACAGATTTTCTTTGCCTGTGCTCAAGTGGGAGAATTCTTTAGCCTGAGTGAGCTTTTTCCTGCTCTCTCAAAAAGCCTCAGCTAACTGATGATAATGCAAGGGAAGTAGATGGAGGGGAGAAGAGGCCTTTCCCTCTGTGGGAACTGGAAATCAGCAACAGCTGAATTGTGAGGGTCAAGTGGCATTACACAGAACATGCTATATCTTTTTTAGGGTAGTAGTTTTGAGCTGTGATTGCATTTATCACCTCACCATCTGGAACGGCTTGCTATTATTTTTCTGTTGTTGCTTTTTTTAAAGACATTACATTGGTTTCAGTATCTTTTATTTACATTTTGTTATATAACATGAACTTTGCAAGCTCCTTGTTTTCTTTTATGGATGTCTCTGCTCTGAAGTACAGTAGTATCTGTGGTAGTATTTTGCTAATGTGTCTGTACCATCACTAAGCTTCTGGACTTGTTTTGTGCTTGCCAGCTTGAACTAGTGACTGGTTTAATATCTATTAATATGGGGAAAATAACAGGCTGTAACACAGCTTGTATAATTAATGTATTTTGTGTTTATAACTGGGACTTCTTAAATGAATTGAGAAGGGGAAAAGGGCTTCTAAAAATAGTGACTGTCAGGAGGTGTTGGGTCTGTTCCAGATATGCCAATCAGTTATGGCTGTGAAAGATGGAGGAGGGTGGGAAGAGGGTTGTGTCTTACCCTGTATGCTCTCCAAACTGCTGCTGCAAAGTATTGGGCCCATCTGCTTCAGAAGATTTCAGCCTGAGGATGTAGGCAAAAGCCTGTAATCGTTGCCCCAAATACTACAGAGGCAGGATGCCTGAGTTATTCTATGCCAGGAATAGGTGCCATTAGGAAAACTGAGAAACCAAAGGATTATCTAGAATGAGTGACCAGAAAAGGGGAAAATTAAACAGCAAAGAACAAACAAGTTTTTCCTTTGAGTTAAATCATACACTATTTGCTCTAAGTTTTACCCCAGAAGGCTGCTGCTTTTCCTGTCCTCTTACCACATAACTACTGAAAAAGTGATAGCTGCAAACAATGACACCCCATCACCCATACAGCATTACAGTATGTTCTTTAATCTTGTTTTGCATGAGAAGCTTTGTACAGGGTTCAGTTACTCATGTACAAGGATTTCAGCCAGAAACCCAGAGTCTGTAAAAGAGGGGAAAAATTGAGTGCATGCAGCCTCTGCTTCACATAAATGTTCCTGTGGAGTGAAGAGGGCAGTTACAGTAACTACATTAATGAAGCTGTAGTACTCGTGATGACTTGTGAAAGTAGGATATGAATGACCACTACATATGTTATTTGCTGAACATGAAGCATTTATTTATATGAGCAATACACTAACAAGTGGTGAAGTTCTACACTAAAGATATGTGGAAATTTATTTCCCTCTACATCCAACACATCAGTCAACTGAATCAAGGTGAAAAAAAGTCCAGCTGTGAGACTAAGAACAGTTGTGGCATACCATGCACTAAAACAATCTTGCTTCTTCCACCCATGCTAAAGCCTTGCTTAAAGACCACGATTTTAAGTACACATAGTTGGAAATAATTACCAGGGCTTCATTAGTTTAAACTGCTGACCTTTCAGTCTGCAGTTTAGTGCACAGCAGCAGCTTTGTGTATCTAATTGCTCAACTGAAGGAACCAACCAACATGTATATGCTCAGTCTTAGCAAAATAGTTCTCTGGGAGGACTCTGAGCATTGCATCCGCTATACATACCTGATGAATTATAACTGTGTGCCACTTCTGTGTAGAGATGTAGTGGATTTGTTCTAACATGCAAATTAAGGAAGCCTGTTAAGCATGTGGGGGTGGCTAGGGATTCATATGACTGCTTACATGTATACAAAATAAACTCTGTTGTCTTGATTGACTCAGACTCATTTGATGAGTCCGTCAAACTCATCTAACTTCCAAAGAAGCCTAAAATGTAGAGTTGTTATTTCTAGACAAATATCAGGGCTTTTTTTTCTTTTTAGCAAA